GTGTGTGTGTGTGTGTGTGTGTGTGTGTGTGTGTGTGTGTGTGTGTGTGTGTGCTGGAAATGTGAGAGGAAGCTGAGCTGCACGTCTGTAGAGGGCTTATGTGAAGTTTAAGGAGGAGGAGCGGTGAGTTTGGCTGATAGTACCAAGCTCTTCAGGGTCGATGCAGCACCCCCAAAGTGGAAGGGAAGGTCAAGGGACCGGAGACGAACCAGGGAAGTGAACAGACGAGAGGAGAAAGAGAGAGAGGTCACATGAAAGACAAATAAAACAGACAAACATACACAATACCTTACACCTACCTTCACATATTTGCTGCTTATATCTGTATACTCCACTAGTTTTCTGTTAAGCATACGGATTTCGTAGGACTGACCTACATTTTAAAACATTAAAAACATCCTGATTAAAAATTTTTTAAAAAAAGGAAATCAATCAATCAGAAAAGAGGCGTAGATATCAAGGCCACACACTGGAAAACGTTTCCGTTTAGTCGTCCTGATCAGACATAATACATTATCACAACAACATGTCAATAACACAGCCAATGAGGGACGCTAAAACTAACTGTCAGTGCTTCTAAAACGAAGCTACAAACCCTGATGGCAATTAACTTTACTAATCAATACATGCCCTCTTTGCATGGCCACAAGCTGCGTGGAACAGCAAGCTCACTTTCATTGTGTTTTTACTGCAAACAAATTACTGTAGAGCAGATAAGCAGGGCAAACTCGTAGAAACACAGAGAAAGATAAAGCACAGATAATAAAAACGTCACTGACAAACACGACAGACGGAAACAATCAGAAGGTTCCAGAAGGCAGAAAACGAAGAAGAGGACGAAGAGGAGGAAGAGGAGGGGAGAGTGTGAAATGCAAAGAGCAAAAGACATGAGTGAGAGAGGGGTTGATGAGTGAGGTTAGATGATCCAAGTCAGACAAATTAACACTCACGTAGAAGCTCATCTTGTACAAATCAATCAATAAATCTGAATACTTGATTCTTTAAATAAATGAATTCTTCAAATATTAAACATGTCAAATCTTAATCATCAATGACAGAGACTGAGTGTGTGAGTGCAACTATGTAAACAGGATGTTCTGAGATCCAGGTCTAAAGACAGAAGCTATGGAAGCTAAAAAAGTCCAAAATTCATTTGCAGTCTACATTACTATGAAAGAAAAAAATGTGACCAATTCCCAGTAACTAATATTTAAATTTAAGAAATATTATCATAAGTTTGTCAAATGAGCCAAACTGGAACCAATCATGTTTGACATGTGAGCCACTGGAAACCTCAATGACCATATTTTGAGAAACCCTCAAAGAGGGAAGTCCAATCCAGAAATAATTAAAGCGTATTACAAACAGAAGAACTAGCAAAGTGAAGATATTTAAACAATTATGACTTTTGGTTTTGCTTCCATAGAACTGGACAAACATCAGAAAACTTCAACCTGATTTCTGTTGCAGAACAAACCTAATTTTTCTCTTAGTGTATTTAAATGAATGGATTGAACTCTGAGCATCTCCCATGCTTCAGCTGGGACTGCGTGTGACAAAATGAGCTTCGGTCTGTACAGTCGTCACGGAGACTAACAGTGTAAGTACCTTGGTTGAGATAAGTGAGCGCTTCCTCCTGCTGCTTCACAGCCGGCGAAGTGGCTGCACACAGAATGTACTGGAACGGGGTTCTTTTGGCACCATTTTCAGCCATGAGCCGAGCTTCTTCGTTCTTTAAGAAAGGCGCCAACGCCTCTCTGGAGGAGATCACGAGGAGATGGCCAGCTGTCACATCTGATCTTCAGTCATTTAAGCCCAAAGGTTTGTTGTCATGCAGCACGGTTCAGGTTAAATACATCATTAAAGAAAGAAAAAGGTGGACTAAATTGGGTATTTTCTTTTTTTGTCTATGTTTCTTTGTTTAAAAAAATAAACTTAAGTACAAGATAAAATAACTTTTAATTTCAGATCTGGTGTCAGTTGATCAGATTTTTAAGTGCATGACTGTGTCGTGTGTTTTTGTTGCTGTACCGTTAGTGTTCCCTTCTGAATTTCTTAAATTGTACACTTTGAAAAACACCACACACATCATGATATCCAAAACTAAAAATCAAACTGAAACTTTTACAAACTGACATGATAAAGTGGAACTAACCTGAAATGTGGATTTTGAGTGCAATTCTTTGAATGAACGAACGCCTGAAATGCATTTTTAAAACTCATCTCATGTCAATAACACATTACTTAAATGTGCTCCTCAATCACTGTGAATCAGCACATTTACCAAAGCCACGCGAGCACCTGTGAAGCTGGTAAATTGCTGCACCTGTGTGTGAAATCCTGACATTTCTGGAGCTTGGCAACATGGCAGTGCTTTACCTAATGTAACTAGCAGAGTGCTGGTGGTAGGACTCAGGCTGGGGATGGCAGAACAGCATATTTTCCAGTGTGGCGGCGTTGTCTTGTATTCCAGGACCACAGAGAAGGCGTGGAGGCAGAGGGCGCGAGCGTTGTGCCTGCTGGCTTCCTCGGATTTCAGCTCAGAGAGGTTTGCAGCCCAGCCTCGCCACACACCCCTTATATGGCTCCAGTGATGTCATCAGGCCTGCTATTAGCATACCTTGGATGACCTTTGAGAGGCGGAGAGCGCCGGCACACCTCCCACTACCAATGTCCACCTCGGGTGATGCATTAATAGCAGCTTCAGTTGATCAGTTGTTGACACTGCCAACAAAACACTCACTGTGGGTGAGGATGTTTAGAGGGGACTTTCAGGAAACAAACACAGGAAAAGCCCTCAAACGAATGTCAGTAAGCATATTTATCATCTCTGATATTTCTAAAAGCTAACACAGCAGCTTAAATGACAATTAAATGATGATATTTAAATTTGAAAAAGGCACATTAATCTTTATTGCAGGTTTAGTTTCAGCAGGTTGAGTAGAAACCCCTGCAGCTCACCCCTCATAGCTCCTCAAGGGAGTGACAGATTAAGAGCAGGTCATCTCAAAGTCTGCCCGGGTTAATGTTTATCCAGAGCCGCTAAGCACACCTCAGCGCTCGGATGCAGGTCCAACCTGCGAGGGAAACAAAGACGACGCCGTCCGAGCTTTGATCCAATCTCTGAACGTTACACAAGATGAAGTAAGAGGGGGGAATTGTGAAATGTGGAGTGAAAGGCCAGAAAGAGCTGAGATCAGTTCTCGGTCTTTTTATTTCTACAGCAAACAGTTTTTTACATCGCTGCAAACTGATCACACATTGATGTTAACATAAAAAAACTAAACAAAAAACCTTCTGTACAGCTCATCATGACAGAACTAAATACAATAAGATCAAATAAAATATATAAATACAGGTGTGAATATTACATGAGCGCGTGAAGCCAAAGAAAGACTGCTGAACATGCATAGTGAACAGTCTGTAAGGAACGCCGTCGCGTCTGTTTTAGATCCAGCGACGAGACGACAGATGCGAGAAGATTGGTGGGTTTTCACCAGTATGCAGGTTTGCTTTTCTGGTAAAAACGCAGCGGATTAAATGAGCGTGCTGAAGGACGATGAGAAAGAAAAAGTTAAATCCTTTTGAGTACCAGCAAATTCACTGTGTTGTTTCTGTACATTCATTTCCTTAAAGAAGCAGAGTTGGACCATTCTCAGCGGATTTCAACAAATCAGGAATCAGCATTATTATTCATTATTCAGAGTATTATAAAGAAAAAACTACAGCAGATCAACTGACCATGAAAACCAAATCAGGTCCAATAATTAAAAGCTGATCAGACTGAGAAACTTCTTCCCAATCAGGGAATCGATGAAGTGCTTCACAGCAGGAATCCACCACTTAAAACTTTACAGCAGAATAAATTAAACACAGAGTGTGTACCTTTTCCGTACGAGCGCCTCCTCAGAGTCGAGTGATCTCATGATGTTAAAAGTGCACTTTAACAGCCGAAGAAGCTCCGGGCTCTCCACGCAGCACTGAGTTGACGCGTGCCGCAGGTTCATGCAAGCCAAAAAAATTAAAAGTCTGCTTTTCCGTGAAGCAGCGGTCAGAAAGTGTATGTACAAAACACCTTTGATTTCTTTGTGGTTATTGCAGAAGCCGTGAAAGAGGAAACGAGTAATACTGTGTTTGCACGATCACATGTCTGAGAGCGACGCCGCCCGCTGGGGAGGCTTCTGCTGCAGATTCACATTTTTTTGTTTGTTTTTCTTTCTTCTTTTTTTTTAAAGAGCCGAGAGTGACGGCGCCGTACATCCCGTTCACTCTCTGCAGTCCACAAATGTAAGGCCTGTTCTCCCCCAACTCCTCATCTGCTGTATTTACAAAGGACTTCCTGTAAGACAGAGTAAGTGCTCAGACACAAATGGAAGCAGGAAGTTAAAAACGACACAAACGTCACGGCTTTTAACAGGCTTAGCTTCCACTCCATGTAGCGACGGTGGTTTGTGTTCTCTGTTAAAAGATCTGCACGAAATGTGAAGGATTGTCAGTTCTGTTTAGACATGAGATCTGTTTTGTAATCGTGACAGTTTGGGTTTTAAGCCACTCCTAAAGAGAAACGAGCGCATAAAAAAAAAAAAGAAATTACAATCAAATATGAGCCTTGAACTAAAATGCTCACATAGGACTTCCTCGTTTTGTCTTTCTGTCCATATCTAATTTTTTTTCCGCCTTGCAATATTTGGTCTTCATGCCCTTAAAACAGAATTCACTGCACACTTTATGGGCTTGTTGCCATCACTGGGCCAGCCAAATGACATTTCATCCCAAACTGAAGATGATCTGAAACATTTCTTTGATGTGAATATTTTCCACTTATAGAAACAAATCTAAAAGCAGAAGGGATGAAGGAGAAACAGATTGGAGCTGATGTGGAGATGGTGGGACCCACAGGAGGAGGAGAAAGCGCCATATCCTAAATCCAAAAATCCAAATGTGTCCAATCCTTCCCCACCAACTTGAAACCAGGACAGCAGTCCCGTTCAGATATTTCCAGAGCGGAGCCGGATGACACGAAGGAACAAAATGGGGTCGAAAGGATGAGCTGCAGAGCCGTGATGAGGAGGGTGATGCTCAGAGACAGAGAAGTCTGATCTGGAGTCTTGGAATGGATGAAACCACCTCCATTAACTGTGAGAGGAGACATCTGAGGAACTGCTGCTATTGCTGTTTGTCGTCTGAGCACGCTTGATGTACAGGTTCAGTAACTTCATCTGCAAAAGGAAAGAATTGAGAAATTACTCTTTATATCAGCACAGGACTGTCTTAAAGAGGAATAAACTTCTTTATGAGTCAGATAGGGCGATAGGAAGCAAAAAGTACACAATATTTGGCTGGTTCCTTTAAAATGATGAAAGCACTCATGACATCTCGTCATGCAATTAAACCGAGCAGAGGTAGAGTGAGGCTGAAACATGAAAAGCACAAACACCTGCACGCTCCAGCAGAAATAAACAAGTTTACAGCCTGCCTCAAGAATGTCTTTATGTAGTTTACCACTTCAAAACAACTCTACAGGTGGTCAATGCAATTATAACTCACTCCATTGTATGGTAGCGAGACTTAAAATTAGGGCCGTGGCCCCCCTGACTGACAGCTGGATAGCGACACAGGTGGCTGGAGCTGCTAGCTGCAGCTAGTTGGAGTCCCTAAACTGGACTGAACTGGCCTGGACTGTTTGTGCTGGTGACCGGCTTCCTGGGGATACCCTTCGGGGGAAAACAAACAAAAACAAAAACAAAAATCCCCCCAAAAGTTATTCTAATGGCTGTCAGTCCACATCTTTACTGATATATGTAACAATCAGTTAACTATAGAGGGAAATACAAAAATACCACAAACTGTTTCGCAGGAGAATCTGATCACAGGGACAATTTGCTTTAAACAGGATGAAGAACTCAAAAGTGATCATACACAAAATATTGACACAGGCACTTTTTTCAAATATTCCCTAAAATGTAGCTGCTGATAAGAGGAAGGATTGTTATTAATGATTAACTGCATCCACTCAAAGTGATTTTCGCACTAAGATGATATCTTAGAGTGCAGCTGAAGACTGCAGCGGTGACTCCGTTTAGATAACCAGCTGAACAGGTGGTGGTTAGTAAAGGGGAGTGGTGGAGGTGGGGGGGTTGCAGTCAGGTGAACCTGACCCTCAGACCTTAACCATTACATAACTCAAGGACACTCTAGAAGGGCAAATATGACCCTGTGCTTTATAATTTGAGAGCCAGCTGAGAAATAACAACATGGGAAGATGATAAGGCTCAGCGTCTGTTCAAGTGCTTTCGTTGTGAGGACATGCAAATGGAAAGACTTGCTGGCGACGGTCAGTACCTTGCTTCCCGTAAGCTGTGCCAGGTGGGGTTTGAGCTCCTCACCAATCACAGAGTAGATAGCCACCAGACAGAACACACTGGCCTTGCGAACGCTGCTCTCTGTGTTGTCATAGCCCTGCGGAGAGACCGGGGAGCATCAGGTATCAAAGGCGCGTACACGCACGCATACACGCACACGCACACACACCCACACGAGGTCAGCAGGAACGTGGGAGGGGTCGCCAAGAGTGCAGAGTACACGCAAACATTTCCAGGGACAAATAAGGCAAATAATTCCCACTGTCCAAATATGAACATTGTCCAAATAAGCCTCTGTGGCACTGACACGGATGTTTCTGCTTTGTCTGTGTTATTCAAGCTGAGTACACCAGCAACACATTTAAAACGAAAAACTCGGTTTATTCAAGTTTCTGAAATGTGAGTTTTTATTTCACAGTTTTGGAGGTTTGATCAGTTTTCAGCCTGCAAAACTAAAACAATCACATTCCATTCAAATCTGCACTTCTGTTTTGGGCTCAGACCTGCAGGAGTCCGGGGATGATGTCGGGCAGCAGCTGCAGCAGTGATTCCTTGGCGATGCGTTCAATTACTTTGGTTTGCATCTTGATGGCTGCCAGGTTGATGGGGTAGTCGGCCGTCTGCACTATGGGGCACAGCACCTTGATGCACTGCTCCGGGTGAATGGAGCCGGCCAGCGTCGCCGCCGCCTCCTCGGCTGCACGCACAACCTAAAAACATGTTTTTTATTTTTAACAGATTAGGCTGCTAACAATTTTATATCACACATCGTAAATCCAATCAGCTGGTGTGTTATTGAGGCAACAGCAGGATTTCTGTATCACAGGCATGAGACTAAGTCAGACAAAGCCAAAGTCTCTTTTTTTCCCCCAAATTCAGACATATTTAATTTCACTGTCCAGTTTAGCATTTTGTGCTCAAGTAGAGAACTTCAATCCCATAAATGTTTCCAACAACCAAAAGGGAGCTCTGTTCTGTCAGTCAGTGTCTCCCTTTTTTTCTTTTGACTTACTTTTCTAGAACAAACAGAGAAACGAGGCAGCTGCTCCTCCACCACTCAACACTTTATCTTCTTGTAAATTTCCACCAGGAGCATGATGGGAAAAACACGTTTACAGGCTGATTTCGATCTGAGAACTTCCCCAGAAAACGTTTACATTTTAAACTTATTCTAATGTATTCTTACTGTTGCACTTTCAGTCCTGATTTTATACTTGAACCTATCATGGCTCTTGCTTTAAACACAATATATCCTCACCTTTATGCCTGTATTTTAGGCTTTTATAAAGCTTTTTTTAAATGACTCGTCTATGATTAAAAACATCTTTTTATGGTCTTCTGGTGTGTGGTAAGTACAGTGCGGGACTGTACTGAATTTTGCATGTTTCACAGATTTTGTGAAAATTTGTTGGCTGCAAAATGACACACGTTTGGATTAACGCAATTACTGAAAAACTGAATACAGAAAAAGCAAAAAAAAAAAGTTTAAAGATAAAGAATAAAAACCTCTGGGATTTATGAACCCCGTTAAAGAGTGCTTTACTTCAGCATACTTTACACTTCTTCAGCAGGATATTATTCATTCATGCTGAAAAACTTTTTTAAAATAAATTCCTCGTGCAAATTGATCTGTGTTTACACACACTCTGTACCCCTGCTGCACACCTGACCAACATGAATGGGAAATTTCTCTACAAGTAATCCTGAATAACTGCTGGAGTGAAGGGTCGAAGGTTGGACTTACTGTCTTCACTTTTTTCAGTGCTCATATTGATAACCACTCTGTAAGGTATTAATTATGAGGTTATTGTGAGCTACAAGAGGGATTAGAAATTATTAGAAACCAATAATCATTAATCTCATTGACTGCAGGCTTTTTGTTTATGTATCATGATTGGCATTCGTCTTTCTCACATGTGCTCCTTTGCATATATAAACTAACTTCATGTTTAAGCGAACACGCTACTCAGTCATTAAAGACATGAGAACCGCATCACTTTCAACACGGCACGGCCACATTAACAGATATCGATGACGACTTTATGAAACAAAAATCATGCTCGGTGCCTTTAGCTGAGTGGTGGGAGCTGCGTACCTCCTTGTGAGAGTCTTTGTGCGCCTCCAGTGTCTTCATGATGGTCAGCTCGGCATAGTTTTTAAAGCGGGCAGGCTGATTCCTCAGAATTTCCTTCAGCACTCGCAGAGCCAGAGCTCGAATGGTGTGCTGCAGGAAATGGGAACATAAAGAATATCATCCACACAAAACTACCTTCAGTTTCTTCAGATTACGCTGAATCAAGACAATGAAAACACAAATAAAGGAGACAAAAAAAGGGATTTACATGTACACAAACTATCAGGTTACGTACATCTTTATCACCCAGGGTCTCCAGCAGGAGGAGGAGGATGGTTTTGAAATGTTCGTCCCACACAGCCATGCTGTCTTCCCGTGTGATCTTCAGCAGCTCCACCAGGGCGCCTTTACGCTCCTCTGAGCGCTCGTTGTGATTGGACAGCTCCTTCAAAAGATCGGCCACCAGGTCTGAGTGATCCTGCCCGACTGCTTACCGAGAGGGGACAGGAAACAAGAGTTAAGAATTGAATTGAACTGCCATGGGCTAATAATCATCCATCAACCTTTTTTTTTGTTTTTAAAAGACACCTAATGTCTTTTTTTTTTTTTTAATCACACATCCAGATTTTGGATCTGCAATTCCTCCTTTGGCGGTTGTTGGACTTTACTAGGGAGGTGTGATGAGGTGCAGGTATTTTTGCACATGTATTTCCCTTTCCAGGGACCACATTTTGGGAGGAGGGTACTTAAACTGAACGTAGAAACTTAATTTGTGCCGGACCATTGCTGCTGAGAGTCAAGATGGACACGTGATTGGTACAGGTGAATTGCGCAAAGCTATGAGCGCGGTGATGCATAAAAACCATCAGTATATTACAGGCAACAAAGAAACTCACAGAAAAGTCACTGAACTAGAGCATGAAAGTCTCTCTAAACGAGTTTCTCCTCCTGTTGCCTACCAAAGACTTTTGGCTTTTGCACTGAGGGAATGTGATAAAACCTTATTTTAAACTTTTTTTAATGAACATTATTTTTTTCATAAAATGGGCAAAACAGACTCTACTTTTCTACTTCCAGAGTGATGCTGCTGTTGTTATGGATCTCTTACATAACATATAGAAATGTCTGTCTTGAAACAGCTAATATGTTTAGTAGTCAGCACTAAATGTAATTCGAGTTTTTCTAAAAGTTTTTTATGTCACGGTCCTGGGTTGGTGACCCAGTGTTTTCTGTTTTGCATTGTTAATCTTTGATTTCTTGATGTCTTTGTTTGTTCCTAGGTTTTGGTTCTGTGCCAGTATTGGGCCTGAGTTTTCCATGTTTCCCTTTTAGTTCAGTGTCTAGTCTGTGTCTTGTGAATTGTGAATTGTCTCTTGTTTCCTGTTTTACTTTGAAGGTTTATGTCTGATGTCAGTGTATTCAGTTTTGCTTCCCATGTCTCGTCTTGTCAATTACTTCCAGCTGTGTTCCCCACCTGTTCGTAATCTCCCTGTGTTCTTCTGTGTGTATTAAGTCGTGTCTACTCGTGTACTAGTTGCTGGACTGTCTGTGAATCTACCGTGTTTCATCTGTGTGTTCTCCCTGCTATCAACCTCCATATGCCTCTGCTGACTCTCCTTCATGTTCGTGTTCATGTTTGCTGTTCAATAGTTTAGTTTGTCTCAGTATAGATTCGTTTTGTTCCGTTTTGCCATTTCCACCTCTGTTCTACAATAAACCACCTTTGCATCTCAGCGAGTGCCTGCATGTGGATCCTCGTTTATTTTCTCCTCACAGCTCACTCCATTCACCGTGACAGTTTATGTTGCATGGGTAGCTGTGAGTCAGATTCTTTCCTTTGACTTTAATAAATATCTGCAGCCTCAGGTGGCATGCAAGAAACTGAGAACAACGGGCATTTTCATGCATGTGTCAGTCTTCATGAACTTCTCTGGATCACTCAGGATGTGACTAAGGCTACGTTCACACTGCAGGTCTTAATGCTCAATTCCGATTTTTTGATCAAATCCGATTTTTTTGTCTGCTTGTTCACACTACAAATAAAATGCGACAGCAAACGCGCTCTAGTGTGAACGCTCAAAGCGGCTCACATGCGCAAAAGAAGACGTCACACACAACGCGCTCTGTTTAGACCCAGAGCAAACAATATTGTTTGACTGATGGCCCTTAATATAAAGACTTCGGACTTTACGTTTCCCAATTTTTGCTTTAAGTTATTACATATTTACATAATAATGTAAATAACCTAATAATTATCCTTATTGCTGTTTTAGAGAGGAGCGGTGCTTCAAAGGATAGCTGCAGATTTCTGTCAGAATCTGCAGATTATACAGTACAAATAAAATGTTCACGTTGTCTTCCCAACAGTTTCACTGACATCTACGCTGGATGGCCAGGAAGCGTTCGCGATGTCTTCTCGGGCGCTTCTCCGGCGCTGATAATTGGCGTCTGTCTTGTGTCAGTGACGTAAAAGACGGATTTAATGCGACATGACCGTTCAAACAGCAGTCGCTTTCTAAAACATTGGATATGTATCGGATTCAGTACCACATACGAAAGTGACCCAGATTTGAAAATATCGGATTTGTGCCGTTCACACTGTCATAGCATGATCGGATATGGGTCGCATAGGGTCAAAAAAAAAAAATCGGATTTTATGCGCTTTTGCCTGCAGTGTGAACGTAGCTTTATTAACATTATTAACAGTAAGTCCTGTAAGGTGGACTTTTGAAAACAGCTCATCAATCCTGTGCTCCACCTCAGCTGTCAAATGTATTATTAAAAAAAAAAAAAAAAAAAAAGGCCGCCCTGATCTCCAAGATCCCACACAGTTCCCGTCTATTTCTAACTGAAGTCTTTAGATCAGAACGTTTCTGTTCACTGTTTTCCCCTCACTTATCAGATCTGGTCAGTTTTAATCCACCTTTTTTTTTTTGCCTTTCATAGACTGTGCTGGCCATTACTGGAATGAACTGGCTGAATTTCCATTCATAAATCAAATTCACGCGTTGTTAGTAGATCACCCACAGAAAACTTCCGTTCCCGTCAGCAGCCTCATGTTATTCAAAATGTGTGTCCTCGGAGGATGCAGATATCTACAGTTTGAGCAGTTAATATTAAAAATATAAAGGTAACTTTTTCATACGATAGATGTCTACAGTCAAATTAGATGCAGTGAAAACATTAGAAACATTCAAACATTACAGCTGTAAGCAGAACCGCTTGGACTTTGTTAACACAGAGGCGGAGTTAAAAGATGGAGAGACGATGAGGGGAGCTGAGCGAAGAATGCAAAGACAGGTGGAGGGTGAGTGGAGTGGAGGTGCAGGGTGGGCATGTTTACCAGGAGCAAAGACCTTGGAGAGTGCCATCTTGTTTTCGCCGCTTTCCTGACGTCGGCCTGGAGAGGAGGAGGAGGAGGAGGAGGGATGAAGGTGGAGGTGGGTGGGGGAGGGGAGGGGAGAGTGGCAGAGAAAAGGATGTGATGACACCAACAACAACAACAACAACAACAACAACAACAACAAGTGAAGCACAGAGCGGCTGCGACAGAGGGGCTGGACGCTCACTGGTTTCTTCTGTCTGCTGTAACCGGCTGGTTCAGGATGACGTTTGACAACTAACCGAGTGAAATGGAGAAAATTCTGCCATTTGTTGCCTCAACATTGTTGCTCCTTTGTGTTTTCACAACGACATCACGTGCTCACAATGCACGACCTGACGTTTGGCTGAATGACAAGAAAGGCTCACATGCAATATGACAGTAAGAGCTGTTTTTTCTTTATACTCATTCTGTGGATGTCGCTATTTAGCTCGTTTCATGTTTTTCTACCACCAGAATAAGCATGAGGCTTATTCAATATAGATTTCAGTTTAAATGTCACACTGCAGACAATGTATAATAATCACAGAATTAAAGTGACAGTTCGCTCCAATATCAAACTGACTTATTGTATAGATGGGGAGTGGGTGACATTATTTTTGCTAAGGTTAAATACGCGAAGGACCACAAACTGAATAATTGAACTGATACATTCCTGGGGAAAAAGTAAAAAGTTAATAATATGAAGACTCTATGAACATTTAAAGCGGTCTACATTTTCCTCTGTAGGTCAGTTCCAGCCTTAAGCTGCTTCTTATTCGTGTTTTGGAACCTGTTTTGCTTGAGGATGTTGAGGGACGGATTGACTCTGTGTGCAGGGGTGCGGCCCTCGGGCTTTGTTTTGCCCATGTGTGACCTGGAGTGTTTTGGTATGGGTACTCCAGTTTTGGATATATTAGTTGTGGATAAGTCTGCCTTCTCTTCAGTATAAAGAAACTAAATGGTGCTCATCTCATGGAGCTTGGACCACATAAAAAGACTGCCTGAGATGTTTTCTTTGTATCGAACTACATCGCCAACCAGAAGAAAAAAGGCAGCTGGCTGACATTACTAGATCTTGTCACGATGCCACAAGCAGATACAGTACTACAGTACTTGAACTACAGTTCAAGCAAGTAATTTTTAAAGTGCTCTTTAGCAACATTATCCAGGCTTTCTGGAGGTCTTTCTGGAGGTGTTTCTTACTACACTGGCTACTTTTTAACTTTTTCAGTCCAGTCCTTGTACCTGACCATTTTCAGAGGCATGTTGGTTGTTTGTTGAGCCACATAACAAATTCTAACAGCTAATGCACGTGTGACTGGGGTACATAGGTACTTTGCTCAGAGCTGTAAACATAAAAACATAAAATCTGCATAAACTCACAGTCTCTGAACTGTTCCACATCATCGTCGAACACAGCCTCCTTCAGGGCGCTCTTGTCGTACGTGCAAATGGTTTCTCCGTAGCCGTATGGGGCAAATTCTCGAGTCCGCGGCCCAGAGAAGGAGCGCGGCGATGGCGTGTTGAGCAGCGAAGTTTTGTTGTCCAAGGCAGTGCGACCGCCTTCCACCACGTCTAAGCCGAGCCGGGCATCAGACCCAGGAGAGGAAGCTACTCCTTCTCTCCCTGCCTGCGAGATGGGAGAGGGATTAGGCAGTGGTATAAAGAAGATCTGGAGCCATTTTAGCTTCAAATAACCATAAAAATATGAAAGCAAACCAAACAATATACAAAAAATGACACAAGCCTCACAAAAAGAAAGAGAGTATCCGAAGACAAATCAGTGCATTACATACACAGTCTGCCTGCAGTGGCTACAGAGGCTGAGTCAGCACTGATTAGTAGATGTGATGTTCTCATATAGTCAATAGACGTAACTTGGCAACAAATTATCAAGCATTAGCTGACAACTTAGAGCACCCCCCTCTCATCTAGATATGGTCACAACTGCTCTAAACACCACCCGAAATAGTGGCGACTAAAATGTTTAAAAGGGTTACAGAAACCAGCAGGAGATACTAAAAGCACAGTTATTTCATGGTCAACATACAACCAGAAAGCCAAACCACTTTTGAGGTCTAAGAACCTAAAAACTGTTTGAAAAATGTCTTGAAAAATGAAAAATGTAATGCAGCAGTGTCTTAAAAAAGGATCAGAATTCATTCTAAGCATTTAATGTCAAATGAAATTCCAGATTTTTCAGAACTGGTTCTGGATATGAAGCTTGTGGCTTACTGCATCATCCCTCTTTGCCTCCCGTCTAATAGGCTCGTTCAGATCCTCTTGGCTCCGGTAGGAGAAGCTCTGGATGGCTTCAGTGACGCCACGCAGCGAGCTGTAGATCTCGTCTGAGTTCATGTTCTCCGTGTCGTACTCCATCATGCTGCCAGACACACAGACATAAAAAGAAACGCATGCATGCACTTTTATATAAAATATGCAGCAAAAGCAAAATACAGCCACATGAATCTGCAGACATGTGCATGCGACGAAGCTGTGCTCTTGACAGAAAAGCAGACTGATTTAGAGCATGAAAGGTCAGGACTGACATAACCCTTAAAAATTATGGATTTTCAAAAGGATGCTTCCACTTTATTAGACATGATGGTTTAATGCATGCATTCTCAGATGGTTTGGTGAACTGGGTAAAGAAAAGGATGAGAGTGTGGATTCCTTAGGCCACAATCTCCAACGTGCCCGCCTCATTACCTGGGTGAATACGCTCTGCGCAGGACCCTTATGGTGGGGGCAGCAGAGGTGGAGTGAGGCGTAGGAGGAGGAGGAGGAGGGGCAGGCGGGTGCTTTGATAGTCCGTCGACACCCCAACCCCATAACCGACTGTTGTCACAGCGCGGCCGGGAGGGAAGGACGGACAGACAGGAGTGAGAGAGCAGGGAAAGGTGGATGGAAACCGACAACACGAGGAGAGAGCACGGGACGAGACAAGAGAAGGGAGGAGAGAGAGGAAACAGCAAGTGCGCAGGAAGAGAAAGAGAAAAGACAAAAAGAAACTAGTCTGAGCTTTAAGGTTACGGGAAAGTGTTAATTAAAGAGGAAAGCAGAATCCCGTAAAAAGTGAGCATGTCGAGTTCATCCATGTAAATAGAACTTTTAACTGATTTTAAGTTGGAGAGTCTCAATGTCAAGGTTGTTTCCTTGTTCACCTCACCGAAAGTCCTGTTCTGACCATAAAGGTGCCAAAAACAAACTTCTCTGTTTTATAGTTAATGGCAGGTAATTTTTTTAAAATACAACTCATCCATTTGGATTTTATTAAAGCATAAAGAAAGCACATTTTGTCCCTATTAACATAAAAAGAAACATGTATCAGCTTCCAGGATGGAAAAATCAAGTGCAGTTCCTCTAACGTCAACCAGAGGCACCAAAATACAAAATAGCTGTTACCCACCCTGTTTGTTCTGTAGGAGCATTCTGTAGCATTTTAATTAAAATAAATGAATAAACCTTCTGAAACCTGCTAATATTTGGAACTTAAGTATGATATCATCATCATCATCATCCAAGTGCAATAAGGACAAGATTTTATACATTGTATTTCAGTGAATACAATTCTAGGACTTTTATTAAATGCTACACAGCAATAATTAATCTGTATCTGTGTGATGCACCCATATGGCCTGTCGTTGCTAGCTAGCATCTTCTTGCCAGGTCTGACTCCTTGACTCCTGACTTCTTCACCATTTCAGATAAATCTCAGATACACAAATGCAAGTGATCAGAACAGGACTTTGAGGAAGCAATCTGATCATGGCAGCTGGGCTGAAAGTGTTGCAACGCTGCCCAAAAGAAATGTTTTTTTGCCCACATTTCAATTCAGTGTGGTTTGTGATATTTATGGGTTAAGCTGGGTAAATTAGTTAATTGTGTGACTGTGATTTTATCTTGAAAGATAATCTTGGAAAAAGCATTTTTGTGCTGCTAATGCTCTCCATACAAGGTGCACTGCAGGTTCAGGTGAAGTAACAATAACTTAAATAACTTATCAATGTTTATGGGTTTCTGCTGGCAGATAAAAGGACAATCCAGGCACAGTGTGTGTGAGCTGAATGAGCTGCTCAGCGTGGAAGAATGAAACTGGATTTTAGGTAAGTGGGCTGCATTATGCTGTAAAAACAGCAGATTAATGCAGCAATCACCCTCCTCTGGTTTACTTTTACAACATGATCGTGTATGACAACTTCAAAGGCTCATTTATCAGTCGCTATGCAGCGAAACTTTTAGCAATCAGACAATTGGCAGGAGGAGTTTTGTAAGATTTCTTTTGTCTTTGTAAATAATTGCTTCTTTGTTTTCACATATGTGTGAATGAATTATGGGCTGTAATCTCTAGAACAGCTCACTCAGTCTCGAGCTACTACAGACCCACCTGGCTGCGCGTTACTTTGTCTACAGGTGACACATGATGACAGCACCAGTATCCCACCATTAAAACACAGCCATGCGTCGACACAGTGAGTGTGTTATTAAGGACAGTGTCATCAAAGGCGGCTGCCTACCTTGGAGAGAGTCCTCCATGGGAGCAGTTTGTCGGTGAGGTGAGAGGGCTGGTCCTGCTGGGTGTGTGACGAGCCGGTATTCGGCCAATAGTGTTACTCGGAGAGCCCTGAATATCAACGACATGAAATTACATACAACGTAACATCGGAAACAGAAGTCCACCTCAAGTTCAATCAGTTCAACTCATCTTAGAATACCGCAACCTGGGTGACTGTAACATTTTTCCCCTCAGTGGCATAGAAATCTTACTGACCACATTGCTGCTGGTGTTGCTCGTGTTCTTCAGGTGGTTGTGCAGCAGCTTGGTGGCGCCGTCCTGGAAAGTTTTGGGCAGTGCTCCCAGCAGCATGGTGAACTCTGGGGTGTTGAGCTCAAACAAAGCAATCAGCACCACCTGTGCCGCCTGCAGGCAGCGAGCACAACGTGTTAGGAAAGAAAGCAGAACTGCAGAGAACCTTCAGATACCTTCAGGCTTTCATGGTTTCAGAAGCACCTCGGCCAGGTAGCTACCTGCTCATTATAATGCACATTAGCAACCTAGTGTCTTTAAATTAGCCATTTTAAAGCTCTCGTTAACACCCTATTCTTCCTGACGATATTCTCCCAATACTGGACTATTAACTGAAGAGTTTTCAATCTGGTTGCTGCTTTTAGACCAAACGTAAGGAAGCAGCTCTATCTGAATTATGATCTTCAGAGGAGGCTATACCTCCACTCTAAATCATGTTTGACTGAATATGAACGAGCTACCCATTCTAATTCCTGAGGTTTACTCACAGTTAACTCACATTTACTTTGATAAATATGAATCTACAAAAGATTCCCTACTCTAACCACTGGCTCTTCTTCAACCACGGCTCCCAACTATCGCAGTTAAATGATGCTATTCCAAAGTGAGGAGTCACAGGTCAAAAATGAGGGAATTCTACAGAATTTACAGGAAGCAGGGAAAGGGTTATAAATGCTGAACTATACCAGGAAGCAAGAAACAGGTGAGTTCCTAACACTGACATTCTCCTACACTTCAGTGCATCTTATTCTAAAAAGCAGTTAATGATACTAAAAAGGTCCAGGTTCAGTTCTCACAGTTCAGTTCTCAAGGTTCAGTTCTTATGAGGCCATGAGTAAAGCATATTAAAGTCATAATTTATGTACAAGATCTTCTTTATTTATCCAATAAGCAGTAATTATGAGGGTACTGGCCAAAGACTCATTGTTGTATCCTAAAAACTGCAGAACATGCTCGTGTAGAATAAGGCATCACTGAGTGCTTTATGGCTAACCCTAGAGCCAATAGGCTAATATGCACACTAACGAGGAACTAGTTAATGCTTAACATGTGTATTCCAATATCAAGCACATACAGTGGACATTATGACTTATCAAGTTAGAATAACAGTAATGTTTTACAATATTTTACAGAATTTGATACACAGGTTGTTGCCAATGCACTTCTGAAACCATGGAAGACATTCTTTCACTTTCTGGCTCCAAGGTGGGCTTCTTGGTGCAGTAATGGAGGCTTTAGCCTGTAGAAAAACATTTTTTGAAAGGTGAGAATTCAAAGATGCATTCAGTAGAAAACTAAAGGAAGAAGAATCTTTTCAGGAAAATCAGTGCTGCAACATGCAAGTGAGCAAAGATAAAGGAGAAAGTACTGGTGTGCTGCTGCTGCTGCTGCAGGAGAATAGAAGTTGATGTTTAACAGAACAATGTTTGGTCTATTATTGGGAATAAGTTGTCAAATATGTCATGTTTGATTCTTGTGCAGGTTTCTAGTAAGAAGCGATAGAGAAATGACAACCACACACCAGTTTTACTTAGGGATGCACCAATCACAGTTTATATCGGCTATAATTCTGATTTCAATGACCCGATTGCATATTTATGACAAAACGATGATCAATTAAACATCCAACAGGTTGTTTTCAGGATGAAAAAAACTTGCCTTCCAGTATGTGCACAGCCCAGTTTGATTACTGTAAATATCTCTTTAAAGAATTTTCACACTTTATTTGAGCTTAACCAACATAGGGTCTAAAACATAAAATATAACATCCTGATACATCGGATGATTTTTTGTGTGTTAAGAGTTCAGATGAGCTGATTGATGTATTTGTGGCTCCAAACGCAGCGAAGCTGCCCATCTCTTCTTTACCTTTATAATTTCCATTTATAAACTCACTATAGATTATACCTAATATTCACCAGGAATAGCATCATACAAAATAAACTACTAGGGATTCTAATTTTATAGAACTACAAAACCCACAGTAAAAATCTTTAAACTGATAAACTGTGAGGACAAAATGTCCGGGGAGACATCTTCTAGTTGCTGATAATTTGTTCATTTAGGATGGGACTACACAAAACTCTAACCTGGGGCAGCAGTGAAGCTATGCCTGCACATTGTGCTTGAAGGTCGGCTAATATAGCATTGAAGGAACCAACTATCCCAACCAGTGTTGTGTGTTTCTTTGCAGTTGTTTAACTTAGTAAAAACACACAAAAAACAAACATTTAAATCACCCTGTTGGCCCTCTCTTCTGTCTTTCACTTTGTTGGGATTAACAGTTCATGAACAGCTTTTATTGCACTTAGTGCAATAAAAGTGATAACAAGGTATCATCAACTCAATTAATGTTATCCTTGCTTTAGCTGCTCTGCTCTGTGTGTGAATATATACAGTGAAACAGAGAGCACGGGAAGACAGGAGACTAACCTGAGCTTAAATGAGATGTAAGCAAAATAATTACATAATTAACTCAAATGTATTTCTTTGTCGACTGTTAATTTAAGCCTGAATTCTTTAACAGAAATGACTCTTTCATGGTAATACAGTGTATTAATACTGGTGTGGAAAAACAAAAAGAGGCTGTTGGTTAGGATTGGTTTAGTTTTGATGTCTTAAAATCTGGGTTGCTTTTTAATTTTGCAAAATGAGCAAATGCAAATGAGCTCATTTCTACTTGAGGTCTAACTATTAAGCTGATTCATAAAAAAAGATTTTAGGCAGTTCTCTTCATTTGTGCAATGGCTGAACTAAAAGGATGAGTGATTTATGAGCTTTACTGGGGATATTTAGTGTATCACAGTAGCACAAAGCACTTACAAGGTACTGCTGTCAGACACAAAAATCAGATTTGACCATGTGCTTCACTTTATTATAATTCCTCAAATACTTAGGGCTAGATAGAAAATTAAAATGGTTATTAAATGAGAATTATTTTGTATTTTTACAGCTAAAATTACAACGTAAATCCAGCCGGCCTGTATGACACTTGGGTGATAAAGGGGTGACATCCAGCTCTTGGTGCCACTATTCCCGACACGCATATCTAAAATCTTCATGTTAGCATGCAGATATGCAGGTGGACGGCAGGTTGTTAGGGTGAGTCAAACAGTGTTAGGCACAAACTATTAAAACAAAAAAAACGAGCATTCCTATTAATGTTGCACTGCAAAATTAAAATCCATCCAAATGCATTCAAAACCACAAGCTTTCCTGGAGAACTACGAATGTTAAACAAACGTCTTTCCAGGTTGCACAACAAGCTCAGTTTATTTGGTGAGTGATCACTTTGCCAGGCACACACTGACTTTATTTGTTCAGCAGAACAGCTGGAGTGTAAATGGTGAGTGACAGGATGCCGCAGTTGGCTTTTTTCTTTTTCGCAGGTTTGGTGGCTGGTTAGGTACCGGGCAGGCGGGGCATTGCGTGCTTGTTGTGATGTAATTGGCTGCTGAAGAGGGCTCTACCTGCTTACACCTTTCTTCCTGGTTGCCCTCAGTTGACTGCAGTAAGGCTGCAGTGCTGGACCTGCCTGCTAGCTCCTCGCTCACCCAGTTATGAAGGGTCTGGGGCAACAGTGGCAAGGCAGAAGGGGCATTACAGAATGGCACAGGACCCCAACCATCATCACAGAAGCAATATTTGAGAAGATCTGTGCATGTGGATCAGTGTCCCCTGATAATAGATGCACCTATTGTATTCTTGTTGGTCTATTTACAGCATATCTAAAGATTTGGGCTGGGTGAGGATTTCATTTGGAAGAGCGGCAGTGGAAAAACAAACAGTAAGGAACACAGAGGGAGAACATATGACGCGCATCAGACAAGGGAAAGATAATGGGCCATTGACCCAAGGCCATCCACAGGGAGAGTGCCTATTATCAAAGTTTACAACTGCTGCTGGACAAACACAACAGGCCAAGGAACCCAAATGAAATAAAGGAGCAGAGGAATACAATATAACAGTTCTGTAGTCAGCAATTTTCTGTAAATTCCAACCCCACATTTTTGTTTTTGGACACTTCACAGACAGCTTTACATGATTCAAACACATCCTTCAATACGATCCTTCTGTATTTTATACTGTTTCTTGGTTCAAGCCGTTTTAGGTCCACCGTGCCTCTTTAAAGGTGCTTTCGGTACGATAAATAAATAAATAAATAAAACGTTCTAAAAATATCAATAGAATGTAAAGAAAGTGCAGAGATTAAGTAAGACATCTTTGTATTGTGTTGTAGAGATATCAACTGAAGATGAAATGGGGCCACAATGTACTCTTTGATAATACTAGAAGGAAATAATAACTAGAATACTAAGTGTGAGAGCCTTAGGACATATTTTGGCCTACCTTCCGCACATCTGAACTTTTTGGTTCAGTGGTCCAGGTGATGATGCGAGACACCGCGAGCCGAGTCTCGCTGGAGTTGACAAAGTCTGTGGGATCCATCTGCCGTGCCAGGGACTCGATGTACTTTAAAATGGCCACTTTCACCTGAAGAGACAAGAAACCTTTAGTCTTGCTGAAATTATATCTGCCGACCAAAAATCAACTTTACTTCTACTTTACCTTGAGGTTTGGAGTCTGAGTCTGATCCACAATAAACCTCATCAGAATGTTGAACTGCTGGTCAAATGGGAAGGACTCCCTAACACAGAGAAAGAGAACAGAATTCAATTCTTTCCTTCATGTGGCTTTTAAGCGGGTCTAAGGAAAAGCTGAAATAGGTTTCGAGTTTCATTTTACGTGAAGCGTCCATGTTACTGCAGTAATGTTAGATCCCAAAACTGGAGACAAGTACAACTCTGTATGAAGTCACGCTCACAGCTGTTGAAGGGTTTCTTTTCAAAGGTGCAGATAGAAATACCGCAGCTTTATGACAACTACTGCATCTCAAAGAGTAGCAAGTACCTCCAACAAGCATCTGTGGTATTTTTTTATTTTTTAAGATCATGTAAATCACTCTGTTTCAGTTAGGCCTCAGTCAGTGTCAAAAAAGAAACAGCACACAGCTGCAAAATGTAGATGAAGGTCTGCAGAGCTCAGCGTAGCTCCTGCAGACTACCATCACTGCACCACTCAAGGACCGTTAGCCCAGAATGAGATAAATGGAAATTTTAGTATCACTCTGTAGAAGAAGTCCAGGTGACAGGGTGTAATGCTTGTTCTAAATATCAATATATTTGCAAATGATTGGACAGCAGTGTTTATATCAGTATAATTTGATGTGGCCTCTGCTTTAAATTTGCTCTCAAAATTGCCTTGCAGCAACGGGGGTCAAACTGCAAACAATAAATCAAAGTTTTAAATGTCCACATTTATATTAAAGCCACAGCTGTGCATGTAAAACCCAAAAGGTTTGTTCATTTGTGAAAAGAATACGCTAACAGAGAATAAAAGCAAGAACTTTTACCCTGCAAGCACGGCTTGCTCGACTACTTTTTTGTGACTTTTGCATTTCAAGATGTTAACTCAGACCTGAATTGATCCTTTAAAACACCAGAGTGAGTTTTTGTGGAAATAGCCTGGTGGAGAGAGGCTTCACTTTCTGTCTGATGGCAGGTAAAGCAGTGACAATGTTCCATTTGTGTCCACAGCAGCACATGGCTTTAGATTATGTGTGTACTGGGGGGGGGTCTACTACCACCTGCTGCAGGTAACACACTGACTGTGGATCAGAAATATGAGAAAACAGTTTACCCAGTAAAATAGTTTTCATTTTAAACAGACTTTCTTCAAAACTGCAGCAGCTTCCGACTGAGAAACTAACGGTCTGTTTTTATGGATCCGTCTATCTCGTTGCTTTTATTGAAAAATAATGATCTGTATATAATGCGATTCCATCTGACTGAATTATATAACATTTGATCCTGCATGCCTACTCCTTATCGACCAGCAATGAAATAGGAAGCAGCCATGACTGGTGTGACTTTCAGACCTTGTGACATCCAGGGCTTTCTGGACTTTGGCCTGGACTGAGCCAAGCAGGTCTGCGCCCATCTTCTTCAGCAGCTGGGTGAGCAGGACAAAGAGCCAGTCCTGCAGGTCCTCCCTGTGTACTGTGACGAAGTCCACGAGAGTTTCAAGGAACATGCTGAAGACCTGCAAATATGCACACAGATCATACATTTAAAATGCAAAACATTTTTTAAGGAGGAAAAAATGAACTTGCAGTTTTTTTTTAAATCTCATATTTATTTGCAGAATATGAATTCAAAAACAAACTTACTCTCTGTTGTTAAGTCCACAGCAAGGCAGAACATGCAACAAGGGACGCCTCATTAGTACCAAAAAGTCACAGCATACACGTGTAATGTACCATGCATTCATATTGATGTCAGTGTTCATCCAAATGGATTGATTTAGTTGGTAAAGTTCTGATTCATTACCTTGCTGTGAGGATCTGCAAACATCCGTGTGAAGATCTCACAAAGTCTCTTCAGCTCCACGCGACTGCAGCCAACCAACAGAACCAGACAACCAATCAGCCATCACCAATCAATCATCAATGACTCAGCTTTAAGCAAAAGGCCAAATATAAAATCCATCAGGTCATTGCCAGCGCATTTGGGGGAAGCAAATGATCCTTGTGTACCTGTTTATCCTTGAGTTTAAATGCACCTGTGGTGATCTACCATGTGCTTCCATGGGTTCAGCTAACCACCTGTTTTCAGATTTCCTTACAGTCTATCTCACTCTGGCTAGCAGGTTGTACACAGTTATTGTTCTGGTTCGCCACCAATCGGATGGTTGATTTGTTTAGTAAGGGTTATAGAACAGACAGACATACAGACTGTTCCAACTGAGGAAGAAATTCACCTGTAACTTGAAGAAATGCGCAGGGAAACCACAGATTTTTTTTATGACTCCTTTTTGTTGTGCATGTATCCATTTGCATTACTCAAGATAACCAACAAATCCGAAATCACCTCTAAAAGTGATTTGTGTGCACCTTTGAACCACTCTGAAGAAAGACAATAATAACAATAACTAGTCCCCAAATACTAAAGCACATATTTCTTGCATATGTATTTTTATACCCCACAGACAGCACGCTCCCACCTCAGTATTCGTTGGCTCTTGAGGAGGTTCTGCAGGCCCAGCAGGCCCTCCTTCCTCTCAGACCAGTTGGAACTGGCACAGTGGTTCAGGACCTCAGCCACATCCTCCGTCTGGCGCAAGTAATGTGGGATTCCTCCATTTCGTGACCCGTACGAGCGCTCCGAGCATGCGCTAGATGCGTCGCTGTTGGCATCGTCGTCAGAGTACATCCCCGGGGATTCGTACCTCCGTCTCAATGTCTTCCTCTGAGAAGGGAAGACGGACACTGAGGATTTGATACCGAAATACTGACCGGCTGTGAGGTAACAATCTTGATAAAAGCTTGCCTGTTGCATCTGGTAGCCATGCGGTTTTCTCAACAGTTTAAGAAAATTAAAAGTCCAAATTTGTACGTAGATGCTATGAAATTCTTCTAATACATTTTAAAGCATTTTCTTTCATTCTTCCTATAAAAAGCCAGTCAAGCAGTGCCACAAGTAAGCAAAGGCCTTGCAGTGGGGGACACGTCAAACAGAAGAGCATATTTAATCTTATCTCAAAAAATGAGCAATGTGCCAAAATAATGACGTTCAACACATTTATACCACAAAGACGTGTCTCTGCTCTGGTACCACAGATGCTCACATCAGGGATGCGATGGACAAACATTCAAAGTGAAACAAAAAAATAAAGAAAAACAAAGAAATAAGAAGGCTTTGGGGTGGAGGAGCGATTATGATGAGGCAAGCTGCATTACTGTTTTCTTTACTTGGTTAGTGTATGATGGCATGGATACATGGACAGAAATGCAAAATGACCAACTACCTTATTCCTGGAGTCTCCTAAAAGCTGAAATGGTAACAAACAACCAAGAGGAAAAGAGGAGAAAGGGAACGTTTAAAGGAGGATCAAAGAAAGAGTGCAGTCCATTTTTCTGCGTGCAACACACATGTGACGAGACGTGTTAGAAATATATCTGATCTTAGTAAACGTAAAACTTTTTCATGGAGCTCCGTATTCCTGAAAAAAGGTCAGAATGATTGTTAAGTTTGGTGACATCTACTGTTTTAGCAGTAAAGGAAGTCTTCACAGTGGCCTGAGCATCCATCCTTAACACTTACTAATTAAGATTGCACAAGTGACACGTAAGGCTTAATGGAGAGTACAAGTACCTGGATAATTATACAGCACCAAATCACAACAAGAGTCGCCTCAATGAGCTTTATATTGTAAGGTAGACCCTACGATAATACATACAGAGAAAAACCTAACAATCATATGACCCCATATGAGCAAGCACTTTGGCAACAGTGGGAAGAAAAAAACTCCCTTTTAACAGGAAGAAACCTCCGGTAGAACCAGGCTCAAGGAAGGACGGCCATTTGCCACGACCGGTTGGGGTGAGAGAAGGGTTTCATTTAATGTTTAACAAAGAACCAGGGATTTATTCTAGTAGGAGAACTCTCAGAACCACCAGTTTAATAGGTCTCACTTGGGATATAAGAGCTCAAAAATTTTCTCAGGGTTAAAATGTTGGTTTGTTCTAGCCAAATATATCGTGATTTTAACGGAAGAGCTCAAAACATTAGAAATGGCTTCATTTCTGATAGTAGTAAAATACCTTTTAAGATTGTTGTCAGTCACCATTTTGATTGCCACAACCAGCTGTTTCTTACACACTCAGAAACATTTCTGTTTGATTTAATTTCACTTCAAATGTCTGTTGGAGGGCATGTGTGCAAACAGGTGCTTATATGAACATGTGTGCTAACTAACCAATCAACATGCAGGACTACCAGCTACATCAAAAATGGAGTCAATACAATACTGTACTTTTTAAAAACTAAAATACAGCCCCCCTTCCAAATTCACTCTTACTCATTGTGGACCATCTCATGAGAGCCCTCTTGGTAAATACAATTTATAGCCAATTAAATTTTATTTTATTTTATTTATTTAGTACCAATTCACAACAACAATCATCTCAAGGTGTTTTATACTGTAAGGTAAACCGCGAACAATGTTGGAGAAAACAAAAATCCCCCAAAACAGACAATCTTCTGTAAGCAGCTGATGGTGGGGAAGACGAACTCCCTTTTAACAGGAAGAAACCTCTAATACAAACAGGACAAGGGGAGCGGCCATCTGCCTGACTGATTGGGCATAAGGACAAAAGGGGAAAACATAGAGAGACCAGCAGTTTATGCTAGCTAGCTACCCCACAACAGTAGATTTATTTATTTATTCTTTTTTTCATCTGCTAATATTGAGACGACTCCTGCCACTGACTGGTGTTTATGTATGTCAAACCTTCATCCTCGCAGTAAAAAAATTAAACCTTACACGCGGTCAGAGGTTTGATAAGTGCCCACAAAATGGGAACGCTAAAGCAGTAATAAACAATTTTCCAATCTATCTCTTTGATTGGAAAAAATTGTGCACTAATTTAAGACTTAATACATGAAAATATGCAGTGTGGATTTGAATAAGGACATGCAACCATTAATGCAGGTAGATGACCAACTGCCCGGACCTCACTTGCTCATTTTAACATTTTATCTTATCAGACAGACTTTAAATCTAATAGTTTCTACATCCATTTTCTAACACTGGGGAACAATTAATTCTCTAGTTGTGTAGGTGACAAGGTCACAAGAATGGGACAGACATAAACACAAGCCAAAAAGATAAGATATCTCATACTTGATGATAAAAGTTTACACAATGTATCTCCACACTGATAAACTTCTTAAAAGTGTTGCCAGTAGAGACAAGTCTTTTTGTTTGCTATGCAACATTCAGTCGTGTTAATTTAATATAAAAAATTTTTTAATGTTAATCACAAATTTTAAATTATGTGTCTTTTCTCTCAAAAACCATCAACTTACCAGAGCATCAGCGACTGCTGCCTCCACCTCTGTGCCGGTGTTTAGGACCCTCATGGCATTAACGGACGCAGAAATTCTTGCTTGATGCACCAAACCGTACCGGTCTGCAAACAGAAACGGGAACAGAGGACAGTAAAGTGAAGGTGAATAAAAGCACAAATGCACAGTTACTTACCTGCTTCTCTTACTTACTGGTCTCTTCAATCAAAAAGAAAAATGCTGTGAATTAACAGCTGAAAATATATTTAAAGCTCCAACCACCAAAAGCAAAAAGAAAAGCAACATCTTATAGAAGAAAAACCCAAACAGCAGGTGACCAGGTCCTCGGCCACTAAGCACAGACATGCATCACAGCGGCTGTATACTTATCCCTTGGAAGAAGAAGGATTTAAGAAACCAGCAATTCACCAAATAGGAAAAAACAAACGTGTATGTTAAAAAAACAACAACAACAAAAACGATGGAAAAACAAACAAAAAATATATTTAAAAGAAAGATATTTAATGCCACGAAACGAATTTCACATTAGCACAAAAAAATGTAACCGCAGCTATAAACACACTAGAGGCCACTGAATTAAACAAAAAAATAAATAAATCACAGCTAACCAGAAAAAATATAAGAAAAATAAGGCACCGGGAATGCAAAAGAGTGAACACTGTATCAAGAACATAAAATAAAATAAATAAAATAAAATTTTCCCTTTACATGCTTAATTACAAAAGTACTGAATAAAATACTGAGCAGGGAACATAAAACCAACTATAAATGTTGCCTGTAGTCACGTCACTGTACACATCCACAGAAGCATGCTGGCCGGCATGATTTGTGTGTAATATTTTAAAAAATGGGAGGAAACTGAAAGCGGCTTGGCTAGTTGGGGAATCTGATCATGCAGGTCACCTGACTGGCCGTGGGGGTCGGCTGTGGAGAGAGCGCTGGTTGAACGGGAGTGACGTCGGGAGGCTGCGAGGGAAACGAAAGGTGGGCAACATCCGGACCAAAGGGTTAGTGGTGCAAACACACAGACAGAAGCCATTTTTACTCTGCTGGGCTGAGCTTCATGCAACACTGGCTTCAGCACCTCCTCCTGGGCTCAATGGGCTCCCAGGCAGTCCTGAAAACGACAGTTCCTCTCAAGTCCACTTGAAGCCAAAAGTGAATTAATTGCTATCATATTAAAATGTCCAACTTTAAAAAAAGAAAAAACAAAACAAAACAATGTTACAATTATTACATGGAGACCAAACCAGTTCTTTGTTTATCTGTAAACATGTTGATTTCTGCTGTAAAGTTGGACATTATAATGTTGGTGTCTAAGTCTATATGGGAGTCTATGTGGACACGTGCGCTGCTGGAGCCTCTAGTGGACATTAGATGAACTGCTTTTTGTTTGATTGACTGATTTTTCACCCTGAGGCTGCATCTTGACAAAGCTTAATGGATTGGGAGCAGTGTCAAAAATATTTGGCTAGTAAACAACGCTACTCTTGTTCTTACAATAGTGATTTTGTCCTTTCTGAGTTTAATGTGATAAAAATGTCCAAAATGAACGACACATTTTATTCAGTAATACCTGAAACTAGTGACTGAGACTGAAACTAATCAGGGAAGTGTTTATTTTCTCATAGACAACAATATGCAATCAGACTTGCAGGTTTAAGCCACTCTGACATCATAGTGTTACCCTTTCTAGCCAAACTGAAACATAAATCTGCCTTTTTGCATTATCCACCCATTCTGCATATTACACTTTTAAGTGTTATGATTTGACATAAAACTGAAGAAAACCTGCCTTAGCTCCATTTCTTGCTCTTAACCTGTGCAAACACAGATCGTTCAGATCAGTTCAGCAGAGTAAAAACAGGTCACGTGTACAGGATAACAGGAAGTGTTGCCCGTCATAATAACAAAGAATTTTTAACATTAAACGACGGTGAAAACATGTAGCCTTTTTCCCAGCACACATTTTGATTTTTCAAAGTAAGAAAAACACTTATGTTTCTAATACTTGAAAAAAATGGAATCAACTGATATTCATTCACTTATTTTTTTCTACCGTGATAAATCAAAATATTAGCTGTGAAAAGGCAACAAAATGAGTAACTGAACTGTGTCTGCTGGCAGAGCAACATAAAACAAAAAATTCTTTAACAGAGAACAGAAAAAGATGCTGTTACTCTCACAGTTTAGAGTTTTTGGGTTTGGGTCCAAAGAAATTTAGAGAGATTTTCCTGGCAGAGAATGGTGTGATGACAGTAAGCGGGACCAGTCTGCATACGGTAGAGGCAAAGGCATTTCTCACCTTTTAATTGGCAAACATGTCTATGATGTTTGAATAAATCCAAATCCAGTTTACTGGAACTAGTGAGATTGGGTATCAAGTCCATAGAGGCCTCTACATTTGACCACTACCTGATCCACAAAACACTGGACCCCTCCTCCTGCAGGCGGTGGACCCACAGGAGAGCCAATCCATGCATCTCCCTTTGTGTTTATCAAGAAAACACTTTGAATCTGAGGTGAGTGGTTTGCCCACTTATGCAAGTGTTCAAACATCTCCAGGTCTTTTTCACATGTTAGGAAGACAGATTGACAGCTGGATTGATGAAACATCTGCGAGGATGTGGATGCTGTGTCCGGCTGTTGTGTTGAAGAGACAGCTGAGCATGAAGGTGAAGCTGGTCAAGCTATGTTCATACCCTAATCTGTGACCGTGAATTAGGGGTAATAACTCAGTGAATAAGATCATGCATACAAGTGTTGAGAATGAGCTTCATATGGTGGCTGAGCCCTCTGTGCACCATTTTACCACCATCTGGTGAATGCCTCTTTACAACAAACTTGACGTCACGCCTCTTGATTTCTGTAATCCTACGCATTGTGCCACTGCAGCTGGGTTGAAGACACGAGTCTACGAACATGTTGGTGTTCATGACTGTTTTACTGATGTATCACTACAGAAGTTCAGAGATTAAGTTTGAAAAAATGAAGTTTGTGGAAAAAACTCTGATTGTTCAGGAGAATAATGCAGCAGCGACCTGTGCCGTAACAGCAAGGATAAATACATGTGGCTGTGTGGTTACGTCACTGGTTGCGTGCAATGTGACCAATGTAGTGGGTGTACTGGTGGCCTTAAGAATAGGATGACAAGGTCAGTCATTCTGGAGAAGCTCAGAGTAGATCTGCTGCTCCTGAAAAGAAGACCCAGGATGTGCTAGAGAGATATGTCTTTAGTTTGGATTATCTTGCTGTCCTTATCCAGGAAGAACTGGAGGAGGGTCTAGACAACGATTGGTTACTGCTTCTCTGAGAAGTAATTTTTACTACTTTGTTTATGCTTAGATTTCAAAAATTCTGCAGAGAGATTAAAAAGCCCTTCATCTGCACATGATTTCACTTACAACTATTTCAATTACAGGAATCCCTCTTAAAAAAAGCCCAGCACAGAAACACTGAGGTAAATCTCTTTTATAGGAAAACAATTAAATTAAGAAGAGGAAAAACAGAGCAGACACAGTTCATGCACAGAGGAAGACATGCAGAGATTTCAGATGCTACAGAGAACACAGAGACCAGACAGAAGACTGGAGCAGGAAGCTCGTTTAAGCATCAGGTACATTTTGTTCAGTTGGTAAGCTCACTAGGAGAGAGTCCAGACAGCCGTGAGCTCGGAGATACTCACCCAGAGGAGTGAAGCCCCGAGCGGGGCTGGTGTCACGGCTGCTCTCACGACTGGTGTCGCGACTGCAACCTTGACTCATGCTGGGACGGGGAATGCGGCTCCGGGCTAGCGTGCGGTAGGGGAGAGCAGCAGGAAGAAGAGGTTTACCACACAGGCTGGCTGTTAGGACAACAAGTTAGGTGGGAGTGTCAGTGTGCATCCATAGGAGAAAAGGTGGGAATGAGGCTCGGAGAGAGGAAGACAGAGAGAGAAGAATACTGGAAGCATGAAGCCTCGGATGAGGGTCCTGGAGCATGTAATAGCCAACAATATAAACTGTTTTAAGTGGTTGAACAATAAGTGAGTAACTCTGGTTTTCCATGAAGAGACTAAAACGATGTGTATGGTCATTGGAGACAGGAGATTTCTGCACAGCCCATGTTTATGAGTTTTGGCAGAACAGTGTAAAGGACAGCACAGAAAATCAACTGATTCATAAACCAATCAATAGAGTCAAACTCCTGACCTCTGTCATTGAGTCGGCTAATACAGAGAGACTACGAGAGATTAAAAAAAAAAAAGCAGATACAGAAGGAAAATGGTGAGAGTAAAGAAAATGACAAACAGCAGTAGGGGTGAGTGAGAGTCAGTCATACAGCACATAGCCAGGAAAGATTAGATCCAAACACGAGCTCAGGCTTCAAACTGTTAACTTGTGAGAAACAGATCAAAACAGCAGGATTTGTAAAGAAGAAAAAATACAAATGAGCAAGTGAAGAAAATAAAGACCTCTTTCCCATCTCAAATCAAATCTATAAACAAACACAAAGAAACACTTGACAAGAAACCAAATTTATCAGAAAAACCAAACAGTTTTTGACTTATAGTCTTTCATCAGGTAACCAGCAACCGATCGAGGGTTGAAGAGCTTCATGAAAAAAAGACCAATAAGAGTTTGGACCTGTAAGTCTGAAAAGTCATGACTGCGCCTGGCCCTACAGCAGGGCAGCCAGAGAGGTGTGGTGCACAGGAATTCTTAAGGTACTGGACCATGAAATCAATAAAAATGAAACAGCAAGATCATTAAAGATCATCTTCTTGGGAACGTCCACAATACTAACAGCATCTCTGCTATCTTTAGATTTCTGTTCTGAACACTTGCACTGCTCAGTCAAGAACTGCCGTTTTAAAGTGACCTAAACTTCACAGAGAACATGTTTCTGGTGATGAGCGCTGTGTCTGCGGGTAGGACTGATCAGATTTTAGATTTTTATTCTGGATTTTCATCCACAGTCTCCAGACCAAAAGACAGCAGGTGAAATGTGAGACCAGGAGCATGCTTGCATCCCCAAATATTCTTTGGGTTGAATTTGTCTCCCAAGGTCAGACTGTAAACTTTAACTAACGTCTGAGAAGGAATATTCAGAGGAAACCATCGGACCTGGATTAAAAACAGAACTTGTACAGAGTTATCTAAAAAAATACACCCCCCCAAAAAAAGTGCAGAAGTCCAGAAGTGCACGTGGCTGCCAACATAACTGAGAAACAGATTTCTTTGGGTTTGTTTTGTAGTGGTGCTCTCAGTTTTGGTTTCCATCTTTCTTTTACAGAGGAGGTCTTTTGTTAACACCACCAAGTAATCTGCACACAGGCTGCAGCATCTTTTGTAATTTTTCTCAAAAGTTTAACAAATACAAGTTCAAACCAAACAATTTCAATAAAAAACAAAAAAAACCCTTTTTGGCCCTGTTGTGAGATATCGTAGGTCAGAATATACCTGTGAGGAGTGATTATTTAAGGGCGGGAATCATATTGCAATTTACTGTATCACTGATTTATGATCTGCGTAATAAACTCGCTCATGGAAATGTACAGCACACAAAACAAACAGGACTTAATGTTTTTATCAGAAAGATAGGAAAGTCCAGTTTCAGCTATCTGTACATGTGTTCCTGTGACACATGGTGATCAGCACACCTGAGGGGTCAATGCCGTGCAGCCAGTCAAAGGAACACTGTGTGAGATCTGGGCCAGCTTCTTGTTTTTCTTCTGCACAGTTATGTCATATTAATAGTGACACTAAATAAGCAATTCATTCCCTGCACAATTACAATTCCTATTTATGCATCAAATATCAGAAAACTGCAGAAACAAGTCAGAACTAAAGTGTGTTTAATGGAATAAATACAGACTGCTGCTGGCTTCAGGAGCCATTTCAAAAATCATCACTTGTAAGAATTCAATTAATAAGAATCTTTATATTCAGGGTTTTATAAACAAGCCGCGCATCATTAACACGTTTTTCAGGCATTAGTTCCAGTTTCAACGTGCCTGTGACTGAACATCTACTCTTAAATCTCTCCTTAAGACTTTTTTTAAACATATTTTTCATATGTTTCTATTTCTCCTCTACCACTTTCTTCCTCACTTATATTTTTTATTTATTTTATTCATACTTACAGGTCATATTATTCTGATTGATCTATGTTTTGATGGAAGCTTTATGCCTCATTTTAAATAGCTGTTTATCCTTATTGTATCGTTATTACTGATGGTGAGCTCTTTTATTGAATTCTATATAGAACTCTGTCTCGGCATTTTAAAAATGCTAACTAAATGAATAGTATAACAGTAATTAATTATTATTATTTACTGAAACGTGGATTCCCTCAGTTTGCAATGCCTGGTGGAGACGTGCATCAGTATGTCTCAGTGCACAGACTCCCCGTTGTTTATGTCCACTGTCACTTTTTCATACAGCATTCTCTCTAATGTGTAGATTCTCTTATTTGTTTATTCTACTTTTATCATAACTGGGGTCTAATTTACATTTTTACTGTTATTTATGCAGGTTTGTTCATTTTTGCTGTGCTTTTTATTGCATTGCTATCACATTTGACTTTTAATTGTTCTAAATGCCATCATAATTGATGTTTTATATTCCATATTTTTGTACACTTTTACTGTTTGCCTTAACTAGAAGGCACTTTCTGTGAACTTTTCCTGTTTCTGAAGGTGCTTTAAGTTTAATTCTATGTTATTGTCGTATACAGATAGTAAATGCAGAGAGTGTGCCGCTCCAGAGTCAGGTCCTTACCAAGGCCTAATCGGCTGGGGCTGGTTTCCCGGCTGCAGCCCTGGCTGCGAGGGATCCTGCTGCGCTTGTCTGCCGGAGTGGTGGAGGCTGATGCCGTGGCTCGAGGGATCCGTCCGTAGCTGCTGTGACTGAGTAGCTTACCCGGAGAGCTGGAGCGACTACCGGCTGTTAGGACAAAAAAAATAAAAAATTAAAAAGGACAAACAGGAAAAAAGTGGCTGAGATAGTCCTGTGAGGACACTGCAGCCCATGAATCTGACAGATTATGATGTGTTCTTCTATTTTAGGCACAAACCCATCCCATCTTTAAAGGTGAATCACAGTGACAACACAGAGCTTCAAAGACACGTAAATTACAGTCGTAAACCATCAAGTGACCGAGCTGTGGTAGCCACTAAAACGGCCAAGTGGGACCATCAGATTTTAGACTTTATTTCTTTGCTTTTATTTTATTTTTGTAATGGATCTGTCTGTCTGTCCCACCCATTCACTGTTTTGTTTGTTACATGACAGGCCATCTAAAACAGGGACGCTAAACTCCACGGTTATGTGGCCCACCAGTTTTACATGGTGGCATCAACATTGAAAATCTGTGGGCCAGACCAGTGAAACTCTCCTCTCTGAGATATCTTAATATATGCTTTTTGTGACATTTTTGTTTGGTGGTGCGATGTGACTTTTCTAATGTAAAATATATGCTGTGGCTCCAAAACGTGGGGAAACACTGCTGTAGATAATGCTGAGTAAATGTGCACAATTACAGAAATATCAGGCTGTTTGTTTGTTACTACCACATGTCTGTTTTTTTTGTTTTTTAGATGTGAAAGATTTCACAGATTTTCTAGAGAAACACTAAAAATATCTGAAAATGAAAAGCCTAACTATAAAATAATTACCAACAAATTAATGAATTTAAAAAAATTCACACAGCTTTCCTCACAGAAACCATGTAGGAAGGAAACATGTGGCACACAGAAACACGTAACTTAGTCACTTGAAGGTTAAACAATCAAAAACAAAATCTACAGCTTGGACATGTGGGGTGAAGGAAGGAGGACACTTGTTCAAAGTAAATGGGAACAGACAATGCCTTCCACAGTGGAAAAATAACCCCAACAAAACCTCACAAAATTACTAATAGCTGGAAAGTGTGAGAAACATGCAGATACTGTAGGGTGACACAACGAGACTACGTGCAAAGCTTTAGAGTGGACTTCATTTATAGAACTGCGTTGAATCACTGCTGTCGTTGGCGATGTCACCGTTTGCATTCGTATTTGAAATGTCATAGTTTGAATAAACTGCAGCAGTTTAATGTCTGCGACATAGAGGAGATGACACAAGTATGGTCGTTTTCTGATCATTCACTGGAGAAAAGTGCATTGTGGGTAATGCTTATTTACAAAAATTTAACAATTTAACCTATCAAATTTACTGTCTTGCAGCTGTTTCTTAGATTTATAATGTATCACTTATTAATGCAATTTGCACTACTCTCTTGCACCAGATGAGTCTTACTTTTACTTTTCTTCAACCAACTTTAATTTAATTGTTGTATATATACCATTTTTGCATTCTCTCTTAAAGTATAAGGCTTTTAACATGCAATTAACTATGTTGTTTATTTATTGTAGACTGTACCATTTTATTCGTTATCTGGCTAATGCTGTAACACAATCATTTTCCTTTTGGGATCAATAAAGTCTATCTATCCAACCAACCATCCATCCAGTCGCTAAAATTAAATCGGTGCCGTTTTAGACTATGATGGGCAAAGACGGTGGTTGACTGATGTTACTGACTAAACAGTGAGGATACAATGAAGATTTAACGCAATGCTATAAGTCAGGTATGAAAGGTGAGGCATCTGTCTTGTGACTGGTTGAAGCTGAGGCCTTACCACTGATGGGATTGGCTGATCTTGATCCTGGGTGATGGAAGCGATAGGCAGGACAGGGTGGAGATCGAGATCAGTCAGAATGAGACAGAAGGGGTTATGTTCATTGATTTGTTCCCAGCATGCACTCTGGGTGGCTGTGGACATGTTAGCTGTGAGCTCACAGATCTAAGCAACGTACAAAGATAACACAACACACACAAAAGCAACAAAGCGTGCATGTATGGAGGCACACATAAACAAAAACACAAGACTGCACAGAAGAAACACATGTCGAGGGGATGTTAAAGCAGCACACAACAATGAACGTTCAGCGCAGGCTTTGCAGCTTTGTAAAGCCGGATGTGCAAAAGCTGGTTAAACAGCTTCACGCTCACATTTCACTCTAACATCGCTATTTAAGCACGTGCATGAGGTGTCTATACATACGCTGGGACTGTGAGACCACTTTGGCCCGACTTCGCCCCCTGCTGTCCACCACTGAAGAAGAGCTGGCTCCGCCAACGCTGCCCGAGCTCTGTCTCCTTGTGCGAACGCGACCTGGATGAAAAGAAAAGGGAGAAAGAGCAAGAGGGGGGGTAGAAGGTTTAATAGATGGGAGTGACTGACTGCGGTTCAACCCAGCCCTGGACAGAGACGCTGGAGAAGAAGAAGTCTGAGGAAACAGAATGAAGCAGACCTGGATGAGGGGATAGAGCTGCTCTGAAAACATGAAGGGGAAACAGACACACCTGGCTTTGTTAGTGTTCACAAATAGTTCTCAGTGTTTCTTGTGACCCGCCAGACAGGAAAGGCATTCCTGAATCTGTAACTCGTGCTATTCAGAAAAGGACTTTTTAAAGACCATACATTGAGATAATTCCAATGTTTCATTAAAAATTAACTTAAAAAGTAATTTTTTTTAAGGTAAACTCTGTGTTCATATGTAAAGAAGGGAAATAAGAAAGATCTCTAAGTTCCCTCGCCCACCCAATCAGTAGATAGTCATCGTCCATGAGCCTCATTCTGCTGAATGTCTACCTGCTGTCTTAGTGTTGCCCTGTGGTTCTCATAGGAAATCAATGGATTATTGGGTTTATTTCTATAATATTGTAGGGTATCTATGTTGCTTTGATTTTTGCTCTGAAAAAGGGTGTCTTGGGTTTGGAAATGACGTGTTCAGCAGTTTAGTGCATGGCTGCATGTCACTGGAGTGTATTGTGGTGATCGTCAAAGGTTATTTGCTTTGCCTGTTTAGTAATTCCTTGCATTACTTTTCAGTTCTAGAGTTTGGATTCAAAACAATTCTGTGTAATTACAATAAGCTTCCTTCATTCATGGTAAGAAGTGCTGTCACTGTCATCTGTCCATGCAGGCCAACCCAGCTACAAAGCAGCTTTGACAGAGTATGGTAATCAATAACTGGTGTTTTAATTTAATGTGCGTGTTGTATTTTCTCAAGTTTCTAGAGTCCATTGAACATGGATTCTCTTCTATGGTTGTTTATGGTCTCGGTCTTTGATTTCAAGTCTTAATGAATCAAACCTGATGTTCATTTTGGAAATGATTGTCCCATTAGAGTCAAAAAGGACCTTAAAGTATGAGATGTTTTAAGGCAGGACTACCTTGTGATTGACATGTTCCTCTTGTCCCAGCATGGAGTGTCTCAGTCAGATCCACCCCTTGACCAAAACACTAAGCTAGGCTCAAGGCTGAAAATCCCTACCTGGCATGAAGTCTCGGATTAACTTATGCAAGCAAAGCTAACCACTTCCTTTTTACCCTAACGGAAACCACAAGAAATATCTTCAGACTTTTTGACCGAGACTTAAAGATAAACAAACACTGAACATCCTTCAGAGCTACTCTGTGGCTGAAGAAGATTGTATAACTGTAAAGAGTACTCTGATATTTTAAACATGTACACCTTGTTACATCACATATTCTACACAATAATTAAAATGCATTCTGCACTTTTAGACAACATCATAAACCTTCATAATTCCAACCAAGAAGAACTGATAAACTGGAGGCAAAAAGGTTACAATCAGTTCGGCTTTAATTATCATAACCTTCTCAGGTCTAAGTCCTCAGCAATGATAAGTAACCCTAACTGCCACCTTTGGATTTTCCCACATGCTCTCTACGGTCTTGGGAATTGGGGACAAAACAAACATTCAAACTTATATGCAACAAAAATTATTTGCATTGCTGAAAGCTAAAAGGGTAACTGAAAATCCATCCTGCAGGGCATTTGTGGAAGAAAAGCTAAAATATCTTTCTATCCTAACTTTTTATCTTCTGCAGATCTTTTTGCTTTTGATACAAATGTATTTCTGCGATAAAGGCTTTCATCCTCTCACCTCTACAGCCCTGTTATAAAGTGCGAGGTGCAATAAAAGTGAAGACAGCTGCAACCGCCCAGTCTGCAGGTTCACTGAACGATTGTATGATAAGTTATGGGCAAAAGCCAACTCAGCAAGAACATCTAAAGTGTGCTCTTATGCAACACGTCAAGAATAGCACCTGAAAACTGGCGACAATGATAACAGGGATTATACAACATGCTAAAAATAAATCCCCTTGAGGCGTATAGGAAGTGATTAGACTGTGTGCGTTCTCTTCATATATTCATCAAGACTTACAGCAGATCATAAAAAATCTTATCTGATCGGCCATTCAAACTCATCTACACTAATGACACCACTCAGGTTTTCTGTGGAAAATCACAGAGTGGATTGGATTTTTCTGACTGTTCCTTCCTCTCACTGTTTGCATTTCTTGATCCATGGAAGAAGGCTGAGCTTCTTTATTACACAGTTTCAGGCATTGTACTAGACCGCTGCTGGTACAGTGAGCATCAGTGCACGTCCACCTGCGGCTGCAGGCTCAGTAACAGAACTTCACTCGCTCTCCTACCTGCAGAGCGAGGGCTGCAGAGGCTGACTGCAGCTCTCATTACGTCTCACACTTGGCACGACATTACAGAGCAGCCGTTGTTTACAGCCACGTTTTGGTTTTTATCATTACAGCTCTGACACAATTTAAGTGGGTGTAACACTGACTGACTAGCTGAAGCTACTGCCTGTTGATAATGCGTTTCCTTAACTCGAAAACTAGGTCCGCTAGTATTAGAATTAAACTGCAGTTCCCTTTAATGACACCTTTTTAAAAAACTTGCCTGCTTAAACTGTATTAAGGCTTAATGTTTGCATTATTAGGGGTGTGCCTGATTTTTTTAAATGGAAGTGTCTGACTAAAACAAGACATATGAAAATTCTAGGACTTTATCTGGATATTATTGAGCACCAGTTTGCGTCTGTGTTACACTTGTATACAGTCTGCAGATGCGTCTTGATAAAGTTACCTGAAAAGTTCAAACGTGATCAGATGTGTGCCTTGTGTCTTATTCCCATTACTGTGGACGTTTGTCCTTGGTCTGTCTTTCAGTTTACTGCCTGAAGGTTGCTTTTACTTCCCTCCTTTTCCTTCCATCCTTTCATTCGATGTGTTTTTTTCCTGTGATCTATTTTTTGAAGTCATCAGAATCTAAGTTAGTTTTTAGTTTGTGTCTTTTTTCATTAGCGTTAAACAACACGAGGACACTTCAAAGAGACCCCAAACCTATGAGTGGCACTGGAGGTAGCAACACCGTGACAGGAAATCAAACTGTGGACCCATTTAGTGCATGCCACCCTGCAGCACACCATGAGAACCTTTTCTGTAGAGTATGATACAGTAACAGTGGATTCAACTGCTGTTCAAATTAGACAGCTGATGGATACATTTGGGTCATTCCATAAAAAAAAAAATCAACCACATCAGAAAAGACCTGAAGCCTCAAAATCAACTGATTTTTTTTTGTACATTAACTTCAGTATATTGAGTGAAGCCTTCATACTATGACTATTTTCTCAGTTACTGACCCTCAAAGTGCATTTTTGATTCCTCATAACTTCACAAATATAAGATTTTCCACATGAGTAAGCTCCAATTTTACTTATGTACTCTGATGGTCTGTAACGCTGAGAATATTCAAAGTATGGAGGTAAAATTTAGCGTGGTGAAGTTATTGTAGAAAAATATGAGGGAGTCAGGTGGTAGCCGCTGATTGATTTTTCATGCAGTGACCCGTTTGTTAGGGTTACAGTCAGAAGGAGGAAATCCATGCAGACAGTCCATGCAGAGGTCCACAAAACTAGAAAGACTACTTAGAAGGGATAAAGAGAGGAAAAGAGAGCACAGATGAAGAGGAAATGTAAACATTGTGACATCTGACAAAAGAGAAACACTCATACACACAGTTCTTACCATCACTTTTACCAGGAGTGCCATCTATGGGGCATTTAAGAAAGGCGGTGCAGCAAAGAGTGGGAGGAGAGGCACAGAGGAAGTCATTAGTAGCAATTGAAGCAGCAACAGGCATGAGTGGGTGAGCAAGGGGCCTCATCGTAATTAGTTAGGGTCATTATGGAGCCATAGGGACTCATTGGAGGAGAACAAAGCAGGGAGAGAAGTTTGTGCATGGGGAAAAGATTACACAAAATATCTCATCTATTGGGAGGGAGTGGCTTAAACTTCTCGCATTAGCTTAAACAGGCGGCCATCACAGCAGGGGGCCACTCAGCCTCAACCAATCAATTTGTGTAAAGTGTCAGTGCAGGACTTAAACAGTTCCTGTTGACAGAACAGTCTAATGGCAACATCAGCAGTTATTAATATTCCCGGGCAGCTCCATAAAAGCCACTGATTACAGGAGAAATGCTTCAATAGCTCAAGATGACAGGAGACTAATCTGTTTATTTGGGACTTTTGCTAAACTGCTGCTTTAGTAGTTCTTACTGTAACATGGAAGAGGCTCAGTTTGCCCCTCAGCTACTTGAGCTGCTCTTCTAAACATCATGGCGCCCAGGAAATGCGACTAGTGTCATATTCACTCAACGGCGGGTGGAAATTATGGGGTCAGAGGGGTCACCTTCTTCTAGGGAAAACAGTGTTCTCCTCATTTAACCCTTCTAACTGTAAAATAGAGATGAACTGATTGATCACCCTCAGAAAAACCTATAGCCTTGCTGCTCATCTGTCCAGAAATCTAAGTACCGGTCAGGGGAATGGCATTAACTGTACATTAAATTTAAAAATGACTGTAGTTCAGGATTTTTTTATAAAATATCTAGTGGTTTTTCAATGTGTAATTATAGAGTCAGAGTGAGTGATACGAGGCAGATCATTTTTATTAGTACAAGAAATCTATGTTCAAAGACAGAGGCTTCTGAAATGTGGTGAAGCTCTGTAACACATGACAAAAATAATCAGATGCTGAAACTGAACTCCTGTAATGAAAAACCAGACCTAATTGTAATCAATGCATCTCGATTGTACGATATTGAATAAAATAATGAAAGGCACTGTGTACTGATAAGACTCCTTCACTCTGCAAACTTAAACGAAGGATCTGCAAGACTTCCTCTGTTTACTCTGTGTTGTTTGTTCACTGGGTGAATCCTATGGTTTGTTACTGGGGAGCTATCTGTCCTCGTGCACGTTTACGGAGAGCGGAATGTTTCATTTTGAGAAATAAGAGTGTGAGCAACTTGTGCTGAATACCAGAAAGTGGTCTTCCTTTTTGGTTTGAGCGGGTTAGAAGGAGGAGAGTGATCAGTTACCTAAAGAGGCGTAGGATCCTGGTGGAAGAGCAGCTGCAGAGCTGAACGGCGAGGAGGCGGGAACAGTGGACAGACGAGACTTGGCGCTGGAGGCGGCGTTTACGTCGATGTCACTGCGGGAGCGTTGGAGGGATCCTGGAGTGGACGGCACCCTGGATCCCACAAGCTTACCTGTGGCAACACAGAGATGTTACTTTATCATGGCTACCTTATGATGCTTTTACATTTTCCAGTTTCAGGATCCATTTTCTACACTCAGATGGAAGCATGGCTGAACTTTGAAAGCACTTAAACTGAGTTTAAAAGCCAGATTCTGACATCTTTGTTGAATTCTTGTACTCCTTTTAAATCCGTTTTAATTCTTGTGCAAAAAGCTCTGTACTAGCTGTTGTAAAACACTCTGCAACCAACTGTGAACTAAATGTTCTTCTTGCTTTCTTTAGGTTTAATTTCCACTCCATGCCAACTGCCAGATTCTGCACGCATATGTTTTTACAGCACTACATGCATGTTGCACCTAAATAACTTTAAGTTTAATTTTAATTTAAGCTGGTTATGTAGTAGAGGAGGACAGAACAGACAGTTACTAATCAGTACAGAAACATCAAAAACCGGACTATAAGTCGACTTCCAAGGCAGAACAATGTAAATGTAATGTTGGTTGGGGTGGGCATCTACAATAAACCCTTCTGCTGAAATACTGCCACCTTGTGGTGACAGTTTTCAACTGTTTATTTTACTGCTGCAACGTGACTTCCACCATAAATTGAGGTGAATTTAACACACTTAACACAGCTCCGTAATTTAGATGTTTTTCTCTCAACTTGTGCAATCTTTCAGTCTGAGGCTGACACCCCATCTAACACCTTCCTCTAACACCCCATCATCTCTCCACCATCAAGCTCCCCGATTTTAAATCTCAGGAGTTCTTGATCAGCTTGGTCCAGGGGAAATGATAACGTGAAGCGACACAGTGCATGCGACTCAAAATGAAAATGTTCAGTGTATGCATCACTACTGAAACCCAAAGATGATCAGTCTCACTGATCTAAACATAAATCTGTTAAGAGCCAGGGTTCATCATAACCAATGCTCCAATGGGCCACGGCCAGTAAACAGGTTGGGCAGGTTGAATGGCCAACTGCTGGCTTGTCTACTTCAGTGGTCTTTTCACCTCAATAATAGAACGTTTTTTAAGTTATCATTGGCCTGCTTTCATTTTGAAGGAAATCGTTGCTGCAAGACATCATTGTGAGTGCTTTATTTTAACCTGTGACCTCAGGAATCTGTGCTTTTTGTGAAGCTTTCGATTTGTCTGAAGTCTTTATACAAACTTTATATCCTTTCCACGCTGACGAATCGAATAAAAAGATACTTACTTCTCGTCATGCTTCCTCCAATCACGCTCTTCACAGACAGTGGCCGGCTGGGGGAAGAAAAAAAAGACACTTTTTAGAATTTATGTGTATCACAACCTAAGACTCATGATTTATAAAATTAAAATGCGTGGACTCCACTTTGGCACTATCAAATTCAGGTTCTAGTAAAAGCTTTGACTCATCAGCATCTAAACTGGGATAACCCCAAAGGACAAATGAGTTCAGACTGGAGACCACTGCAGCTGCAGGTCTGATGGGCCGAGCATGAGGTCATTACCCAAGTGCGCTCCACAGGGAGTCTACAAACGGGATTAATGATGATTGATTCACCCACCCGCTGCACATCTGACAGTAATTACCAACATCTTTATCACCATATTCAAAACAGCAGATGCATTAGTGGTTTCATATCACTCAGTGAAATCCAATATGTGTGCTCAAGCTTTGAGGATGCAGGGACACGAGTGCTTCCAGCAGGAGGAGGAGAGTAGGAGCCAAAGAGCAGCGCGGTTCTTACTTTAGACTCTCCTGCGAAGACGACGAGGACCGGTCTGACTGGGGCAGAGACACGATGCTGTCTGAGCTCTTCAGGTGAGACTGGAGGGCCTTCTGATAGGTGGCCTCCAGCGCCTGGAAAAGATGTTCTGCCTCCCGGCTGTAGTGGCCGTGAAAGCCCCAGTAGCACCTACAGGGTGGAAAAAAAGAGAAGAGGCAGTGTAGTGAAAAACAAAAAAACAAACTAAACTTTCTCATTGAATTTTAAGACAGGACACTTACTTTCTAGCAATGGATCTGGCTTCAGAGTCAGCATCGTGGATTCCTTTCTTGATGGTCTCAGTGAGAACTGCCACGTGCCTGGGATAGTAAGGAAACATTGCAAGGAGAAACGGTTAAGACAGAAACGAGCTGTACTGATGATGTGGAGCACAAACAGCTCTCAGGGGAGTTCCTCGTTCCTCTCCTCTCTCCTACAGTTTGAATCCTCTGCTGATCCACAGGGAATGTAGCCACCCGTGGGGCTTTTCACCCGCTTTTTAAAGTCCCCGCTGCGGTTGCCATGGTTACATATAGGGCAAGCAGGCCCCTTGATGATGATGATGATGATGGCTCGCTCAGGAGTCATCAATTTAACGGGCCTCATCAGCGGCTCAGCGAGCCAGCTCAGCTAACTGCAAATGCTCAACAACCTAAATGTCATCATGAGAGAGTAGAAGAAGAAGCTGCATGCACGTCTGCGCCTCAGCAGAATGCACGCACACACACACATACACACACAAACACACTCTCCTATATAGTATGCTTCCAGGAGGAAACAGCAGACTAGCTCACCTTTCCAGTGTATTGGTGTGCCACTCCTGCAGCATGAGGTCGAGAAACTCGTAACAGCGTCTGGAAAGAAATTAAAGTTTATATGAATACATCTTTAACCTTTTACACCTTATACTTTTTTACACCTTTGGTCACTGAGATTCGAACCTGTCTGACATTTTTAGTAAATGCATTTATGGTATTTATTTGTAAATTCTACATCACCCCGTTCTCGAGTTAATACATTCACAAACTTAGGTGTCCATGCCACCCACCCGGAGGGGTAACAACAATACCCCGACAGCCCTTTAGGGCTGAGGAGTAAAATGCATAACTGCAAAGTAATTCAGAGTATTTATTCATTCATTATTCATTTCACTGGATTTAAAGTAAACAATAACCTTTCTGTGGCTGAAGCTCCGACTTAAACATGAACTCTCATGCCCTCAAAAATTATCTAAAAAAAAAACAAACCCAGCGGCATTAATGACTGCATATGTATATTCATATTATATTATATATCTAATATATATATTATTAATATATATAATTATATATATATTATATATTATATATATATATTATATATATATATATATATATATATACACATATATATATTTTAATGCCTCTGAAAGTAAATTCATTTTAATGACTATATAATGAAATTTTACTATTGACATATTATTATACATTTTAACATTAACAATTTAAGTACTAGCCTACTAGCAAGCAACTCTTTTCTTTTTCTTTTAAAGCACTTCGCCCTCAGACTGCTGGCTTACTTGTGGTTCCTAGAGCATTTAAAAGTAGGATAGGACGCAGAGCCTTCAGCTTTCAGGCTCCTCTTCAGTGAAACCAGCTCACAGTTTGGATGTGTATATGTGTTTGTATATTTACACACACACACACACACACACACGTAAAGTGGCTTTTTGATATCTATTTTGTTTTTATCCGATTACTCCCCGTTCTTGAGTTTTTACATTTTCTCTTTTTTTCCTAAATTTTTCTTTCTTTTTAATCTTGATTTATTTTTCCCTAAATGAAAATCAAGTTTATTGGAAAACAAATAAGAAAACTGAAATTCTTGTCTTTTATTTTTAACTTGCAGCTGGTGTGTTTTATTTTGAAAGGCATTCTTACCGTCTGACTGCGACTGATTTGGAGGTGCAGTTACTGGTGATGATGGGGATGAGCCGTGGGTAATGTGTGTGCTGGGAGAGAAGAAAATGTCAGGAGGGATTATTTCTTCTGACAGCTCTGCGAGGATCAGTTATTTGCATGCAGTAATGCTCTGAGATCACTCACCCTGAGGATGAGACGGATGGCGGCCATCCCGGACGTGGCCATGACTTTGGCACTGTTGGGCACGAGATTCAGCAGGGTTGGCATGACGCTCTCGGCCGCGTGGTCAAACTTGTTACCGAGAATCGATGACAAATGTCTGGCAGAAAGAAAGAAATGGTTACAATGCAAAAAGCTTTCAAAGACAAACTGACAGATTGGCAGAAATACAGAGAAGTGAGTGAGGGATGATGGGAAACGTCTGCTGTGTTGGCATTAAGAGGGATGATAGGATACATGTAGGTCTCATCTATTCATCAGCCTCCTGCTCTTTCAGTGCCTCTCTGCTCTGTTCCACCTCATCAGGGCCGGATTAAACTCGGGATGACGGATGTTTGTAAGTCCAGAGTGATGCTGCAAGACTGGTTTTCATTAGCTTAAGCTTTTCACTGTATAACCTCATCAGTTACGGATCCATGTTAATGTCAGCGCTGCTAATCAAAGCCATTAGAAGCACGTTGATCAATGAGTAAAAACTGAATGACTCTCATTACGGAGCCCTAATCCAGAGAGAAACCCATGAAAATGACATGAAATGCAATCACTTGTGATTTAATGAATCATCCTGACATGTACTCTGCTCATCTGGTCACACCCCGATGACAAAATATTCAGTAAAGATGAACTAAAAGTGAGCCTTTATAGGCAAAGGTTTCAATTAGACACTTAAACCTCTTGTTTTGTCATACTGACAGTTTCACAGCTGAAAAAAAAACTATCTGAAGATTAGACTATGCACTTCACTATCAGGTATACTGACAGGGCGGTCATAAACATAATCAGACCAATTGAGCCCAGCCAGGCAGAGAAATCTAAGCAGTGTCTCATGCAGAAAGATTCTGGTCTTAAGGTTTTTTGTAAAAACCCCTCTGCAAACATTAATAAAAGCTGTCACCACTGAGGCGATCGTGACTCAAGAGTTGGCAGTTCGTCTTGTAATCGGAAGGTTGCCGGTTCGAGCCCCAGCTCGGACAGTCTCGGTCGTTGTGTCCTTGGGCAAGACACTTCACCCGTTGCCTACTGGTGGTCATTACCGGTGGCGCCAGTGTCCGGCAGCCTCGCCTCTGTCAGTGCGCCCCAGGGCAGCTGTGGCTACAATGTAGCTTGCCATCACCAGTGTGTGAATGTGTGTGTGAATGGGTGGATGACTGGATGTAGTGTAAAGCACTTTGGGGTTCATAGGGACTAAGTAAAGCGCTATACAAATACAGGCCATTTACCATTTATCATTTACCACAAGGTGGCAGCGTTATACCAGAAAGTCAAATCATGTTTACAAACTCAAAGTGTTTTCCAATCGAGGCAAACAGATCAAAACACCAGTTTTACAACAATAAAACAAGACTCGAATAAATACAAAAGCATAAATAACAATAAACACTGTAAAAATTAATAAGCATTAATTGTTTATAACGTTTTTGAAAAACCCTTTCAGATGCTCATTCAGATGCAGTCGCCAATGCAGATGGAGTCGCATGTTTAACTTGGGAGACGTTTGTGTTGCTGGATGCACTTCCTGACACAACCTTGTTTGTTTGGGCCTGGGGCTGACACTCAGAGCACATATGATTCCTGAAGCTGGGACTGGGTCTCCTCCCCCTCTTAAACCAGGGATGTTCACGCAGAAAAGCATTGTTAATTACCCTCAGGCTTTCATTTTATTTAACTAATTATTTTATTATTAAAATAAATTAATTGTTACACATTTAGATTATAAAAAGATCATTTAAAAAATCTGCAATGACAGGAAAACCAATCAACTCAAAGAAGAGAAAGAAAAAAAGCTAATTCAGTTTTTCTGTCATTTACTTAAAGTTCTTTTTCTTGCCATCCAGGGTTTAAGGTCAACTATGTTTAATTTTTTAAGGTACATATTATTAATAGTGTTTTTAAAAAGTCTTCAATTAACTACAGCTTTAACAGAATTTGAAGAAACAACAGCTGCAGTGAGTCAACCAGGGAAATAATAAGAAGAATTCAAAAAGGAGGTCTCTGAAAGAAATGGGAAAAGAAAAAGAAAAACAGCAGCTCACTCACTGGTATAATTCTGCTTCCTGGTGGTGAACGTTTCAGAAAACAATTTGTAGGTGACTGATTACAGCAGGTACTTATACCTAATGGCCAGTTGACAATTTACATAGGTGCCAGCTTGCCAAAGGGTCTGAGTCAGCCCACTGGATGGGTTTACACAGCATGAAATAAATCTTCATGTGCATATTATAACAACAGCAGACTCGATGTATGTGGAAAAACTGAGATGTTGTTGAAATCTCACTTATTTGTCTGAATACATGTCATTTCATCTGTCCATCATCTGTTTTTTTAAATGTTAAATTATTCTATAAAATTGTTCCCAGACATATTGTTGATGTTGCAGGTGGTTAAGGGTGTTGCAAGGCTTCTAAAATCACAGTCAGTAAAGTCTTCTTGTCTTACCCCAGCGTGATGCAGGCCTCTCGGACCACCTGGGAGCGCAGGTCTTTAGCTGACAGCTTGAAGGAAGCCTCAAGAAGTCGAAGCTGCTGAGGGAAACCTTCATAATCAGTGGCCCCCGCCAACATGATGGAACGGACCTTCTTCAGCTACAGAGGAATGAGAAAAGAGAAAAAAAAATGTCACGATCAAATATATATTACCTATCATCTTTATATGTAAGTGTGTGTGTGTGTGTGTTTTAAAGAGGACACATGTGCTTCCAGAATCTCACCGCAACCACTCGGTGCTCCCAGTCATGTTTGTCATCAGACAGCACTTCTCTGATCTTGGTCAGCTGGTCCTCGAGCTCTCTGTTAGAGTAGATCTGTGCACAACAGGACAGGAAGGGAAGCCACAATATTAGCAGGACTTATTTCAATATGGTGCACCAAAGTGACTGACCCCAAATCACCAAACTGTGCAGTTCCTCTAATGTCCACTAGAGGCTCAGGCAGTGAATCAGTCCCCACGTTATTAAAATGTCCAACTTTACAGCAGAAATAAACATGTTTACAGACTGATACAAAGACTGTTTTGGTGCAATGTTTTAATCAAGGCTTAAAGTTTGCATTGTCGTGGGCGTGGCTGTAGCTGCTAACTGCCTGTGAGGCTTTACCTCAGCTAATTAAAGTCCCTGAACTGGAGCTCTGCAAGGTGTTTGTGTTGTTGGAGCCTTTTGGAACATTTTTAAAGCAATAATCTGATTACTCTAGATAACCAGATAACCAACCAGCTAGCATTAACTGCCTTTCTACCCCACCCTTTTGTCTCAGTGCAGCCAAGCGCAATAAAGCTAGAATTATATCAGTTTTTTAAATGCTGTCTGTTTTGATTAAACATCCAGGTGGTGTGAGATGAAACATCGTGGATTCATTAAAGTCAATCTGACATGACATCCAGAAATCATGAACGCCTTTAAGTCATGTGGAAGTAGTTTTAAGGCACTGCATGATTCAGCTGTTCAAGCCAAGAATCCCAACCACATGATGATAGCACAGGTTGCTATCATCATGAGATGGACCAAGTATTTTGGACCATCACACAGGTGTGGACCAATTACCTCTAACACTCCTAAAGCCACACCCTCTGGGAAGGCTAACTACCATCATACTAAGCAAGGTTTCATATGGAGAATGTGGCCAGCTCACCTGGACCGAGGGCACATCTTCAAAGGCTTTAATGAAATCCTCTTCATCAACAGCACCAGCAGCAGCTTCTTTACCTTTGGAAAATATACATAAGGCATTTTAAATGGTATTCAACAGCATCTTTTAAACTACGAATTTGACCAAAGAAAAGAAGCCTTGGTTCAGTCATTAACAACCTGCTCTCAATGCAAGCACATCTATGACAAACTAAAAACTGCCGTCAAACAAAGATTTTTTTCTAAAACATAACGAATCGCCAGCCAACAGAGCTCGGCTGCCTGAGGGTAAACTGTTATGACCCAGGGTTAAACTAAAATGTGAATAACTGTTCATTAAATCAGAACAAATAGTGACTTTCAGCAGCAGATTATTTATTCCCAGCACTGAGCTGAGCTTGAACCTCACCCGTGGGCTTTGGCGTGGTGGCTGAGCTGGGTCTTCTGACAGAGCTCACTACAGTCCTCCTGCCACTGGGTGGTGCTTTGGAGGAGGAGGAGGAGGACCGGCCTCCGTCCACAGAGTCCTCATCCTCAAAGTTCTTATCTGCAAAAAAGAAGAAGAAGAAGAAATGAGAAAGGGTGTAGGTGACTTAGGCTTTCGATATAGGCTGGCTGACTGTGAGAATTATTTCCCGTAAGGATCAATAAAGCACCGTTCAGAGGCTGAAATCATTCTCTTAAGTGTTAAACAGCCCTGAGTCATTGCTGCGTTGGATAACCTCTCAGGGGGGAGAGTGCAACACGTGAAATCTGTCAGGTGGTGTATGTATCTGTGCACGCTTTAATCATTCCATCCATCTGACTCTAATCTGGTTTGGCAGCAGTGCATACATGGCCCCCGGCGTCACCTGCCCAACGTGACCACTCACACGAGGGATTAGCCGGTGGTGATATCCGCCAGCTGAGGCACGGAGATAAAGGCGGTGTTTGCAGCCATGATCATGACCGCTGTCTGACGACATTTAGAGACATTAACTTGCTGTTTAGGAATCAGGTTTGTGCCTTTTCTTTTATTTGTGGAGCCACGTATAATAAACTGATAGATAAAATAGAAGCTTCATCCACACAAGCTGCTCCCTGCATGAAAATCATCATCATGACCAAGAAATACAAAACATGACAGGGACAAAAAGGCAACAGGTTGGCAGACATGAGACGCACAGAGCCAGAGAGAGCAGAGCAATAACAGACAGACAGGAAGCTGTGCAGGGCGAGACGAGCGCGGCGAGGATGAAAATGAGGACAGATAAATGCATCGTTCTTACGAGGGCAGATTTTCTTGCACATCAGCTTCCTCAGCATGTCTCGGCAGCAGCCTCTAACACACACTCTCGCTTTCTTCAGGCATCTCTGTCGAATGGATTGTGTGTGGCTCCGGCACACTCCCAGACAAACCAGCCCTCTCCCTGAGGTGTGTGTGTGTATGTGTCACAGTAACATCACTGCTGATGCTGTTGGACTAAAGGCTCTAAAAACAGGGAGGGGTCTGAGGTTATGAAGCATTTTGTATTTACTGAGCACAGTTCCTGTACGATGACCACACTGTCGTGTTTAAATGCAGTTTCTCAAAAAGAAGTCAATAATGATGAAGCTTTATCTGCTGCTTATCGAAATGCAGGTCTCGGGGGAATCAGATGCTCAGACCTTCTTTATCCAGCCTCGTCCTCCAGCTCGTCTGAAGTGTTCATAAGCCAGCCGATAGATATTTCTTTCCCTGGGAGGTTGGAGGCATCCTGGCCAGTAGCCCAAAGCACCTCGCTTTTTGATGTGGAGGACAAACCCCTCCTGTATGCCCACGTTCTTCACCCTCTCTAAGAGACACTCTTCAGAGGAAGCTCCTTTCTACTGCTTGTATCGGTGATCTCATCCTTTGTCACTGCCCACACCTCGCGTCCATAGGTGAGGGTCGGAATGTAGATCACCAGTAAATCAATAGCCTCTCTGTGGCCCTCTGCTCTCTCTTCACCACAATAGACCAGCACAGCATCCTCATCACTGCAGATCGTCTCTCAATTGCTTACTCGACTCTCAACCCACTCATGATCAAGACCCCTGAGAAACACAGCCTTAGCTCTGTGACTTAGCTCAGCCAATTCTCATCCCAGCCGCTTTATACTTGACTGAAAAAAACAAAACAAAAAAACAACACAATGTGAGCTGGAAGTCGAACTGACACGTCACCCAGAACACAGATGATGAACACAACATCTCAAAGAGCCAAGATGTGATCCTGGGTCCATGGAAGTGTGCACTTTAGAGTAAAATCACCAGTACAATCCACACACGAGGTGCAACCAAAGAAGCTCGGTGGGTGCTGAGAAAAGACGTGCAGATGCTATTCGCTCTCTATTCTCTATCGATCGATCTCTATGTGGCTAAACCTCTCAAACAATGAAAAGCCATTAGCTTACTGTAAACCCTTACTTTGCTGCCTGTAAAAAAAAAAGAAAGAAAAAAAAAAAAAAAAAAAAGGGTCACCCCCACGTGCACCTGATATTGGGATTCTCCGTCCCACAAATGCTGCAGGTTGAGTTCCGTTTTGTATTATTGAGGCCCAGAAACACGTGGGGCTGCAGACCCACAGGGCAGATTCAAAGTGTGATGCTGTGGCTCAAAGCTCTGAGCTTTGCAACGACCTACACGTGACAATTATACACTTACTCTGATAACATATGCCCCACTTGCTCCAAATAACATTAACACACCCAAGAGAGGCCAATACAGCCATATCAGACACAGCATAACATAATGTATTAAATCTGCAGTAAAGTGTCTGCTGTAGACATTCATGAATTTAAACTTTGTGATTAAATTCATTATTTTCTTTCCAAAATGTTGGACACTACAAAGACACCTGTGTACACACCTTTTAGGCCAATTTAATATCAAAAGGGTTGTTAGTAAATATGGCCCCATATGGACTTTCTTTCCTTGAGACCATGAGACAAAAGCCCCCTAATCAGTTGCCTGAACCACCCTAACTGACTCCTTTCATCTGTTTGGATTTATTTTTGTTTCTAGAACAGCTCTTTTAGGTATGATCCTTGCAATCCATCACACCACTGTTAGAAAGTCTGATTAAGTGGCCAAGCTGCTCATCAGCGCATCTATTTTTTTTTTCCAGGTTAAAGGAAGTAATCAGTTATCAGACGTCATCCGTAGGCCAGCAAAACCAATAGCCAATCACCTAAACACTCACCCCCTCGCCTCTTCGTAAAGGCTAACAGCTCGCACACCTAAGCAGAAAGCACAGCGCCCGACCACGCAGATGAGAGCATTGATCACAGCTGTCAGAGCAGCTGCTGCCAGCGACGCTGACACAACGGCTGGATTGTGTGTGTGATTTATCCAGGGAGCAATTAAAGCGGCATGCAACATGAGATGAGCAGTTCTCTCTCTCTCTCTCTCTCACACACACACACACACACACACACACACACACACACACACACACACACACACAAAAGAGTGTGTGTCACAGCCTGAGGCGGGTCATTAGAGCATCTGAAGGTAAATGAGTGGTGACAGCAGCAATCAGCCCACAAGCCTCTGGACATCACCTCCATCTTCCTGTAAAGGTTTCATCACTTGTAACAGGCGGAGGTCGTGAGGGACGTCAGCAGTTTAATGTTTTGGGTTTTTTTTGTCAGACTAAAACTGTTTGTTCAGTTTCTCATCGATCTTTACACAACTGTGATAAAACACAAAACTGGTTATAAGTACTCTGGAAATGTATCAAAAGTATCTGCTGTAGCTGTGAAAGTAAAGCAGGTTTAACACCTCTGTGTTTTATCATTACAGCAAAGCAAAGAAGCAACCAAACACGTGAGAAATACATTTCATGAGAAAACAACAACAGTTTATCTGCAGGGGAGAAACAGCAAAAATACTAATCATGTGACTTTAAAAGGGGACCAAGATCTGCATCCATATTACGTTTTTATTTCATCTTAAATTCACTTAAGTATCAGTTAGTTTCCAGCGTGGGTAAGAGAAGAAATGAAAGCAGGGACAGAGAGCAGGTTTGTGTGGGACAGGTCGGGAATTTTGCTTTGCAGAACTTAAAAACAGACACATTTGAATTCTGCAGGTTTGGCAGTAATCATGTCAAGGAGAGGAATACTGCATTTTATCTGAACTCACTAAATACAATAAGCCTGAAAGGAAGAACTGTAATGAGTGCCTCTTTCTAATTTTCTAGTCTTATAATGTCCACTCTGTGTCCCACAGTGATACAGTTTCTTTGGATAAAAGCTAAACACTGCAGTGTGGACTGTTGAATGTTGATAATTAAAATAGGGGATATTTTCTCAATGGGATAAAAAATGCTGTGCACTCCCACATAAAAAGGGACACTTGGTATACCCCACATCCAGCGCGAGTAACAACACGATTACATCACCTCCTTCTGAATGGGTGTGTTTTAATTAACTGCATTTTTTTTTTTTTTTTAATTTTGTAGACACATATTCTCATTTTGGTTTTCATTTCTTATTTCACTGTATTAACTCGTTAGTGTTGTTTAACCCCTTCTGAAAATAAAGGTGCAAATCCTGTTGTTTGAGGACTGAGAGGTGTGCTGCCTTTTCTGTCCACTAGGTGTCAGGATACACTGTGGGTGCAGTGCACAGTGGAGCTGTCAGAGCTGGCAATAGTAATCTGCATGAAGCTCAGATTTATATAACAGTGAGGATCTTTTTATACAAACAGAAGAAAAGCTCAGGGGAACGGGGGATTAACTGAAAGTTTAGCTCAGGAAAATTTTCTAAATCGAGGACAGAGGGAGGGCCTCTTGCTATCCCACCAGCTCGCTCGGTTTTCTTCTTCACCTTTTTGTCCCTTGGTACATTTAGTAAATGAAATTATAATTACAGGAAAAAAAAATCCTAAAACATTTGACCCCCCCTTTTTTAAGGTGAATAAATACTGAAGTAAATTAAGACAATTATCAGCATTAAATTAATTGTTTTGGTTCACATTAACAGCTGATTTATTTCTCTTTATTTTTTAAATACTGCCAGCAAACCCCCCCCAAAAACACACTCAAAAAGGCCACTCACATACACTCTTCTTGTGTTGTTCAGTTGTTTTTTTTGGCGCCATTTAATGAAAATCTGTCATTTTTTATCACTTCCTGTCCAACAGGATGGTGTGGGCAGTCTGACACAGTGGTCTCATTACTTCAGTGAGCCTGTGGCTACACATGTCTGTCTCTGTTTCACTAAAACTGTTTCCCCTGGTGTCACCCTGCTTTCAGGGTAGACAAAAAGCACAAAGAGAATTATCGATCACAAGTCCAATGAGCAACGAACACCTACTTTTATAATCCACTGTGGTGATGAGAAAAAGATCCACCTCACTGTCTGTCCCAGTGTTAAGACTCACTTTGTGCAGTCTTTGTTTCCCTAATAACTTTTTCCTCGGGTTTCTGATTTGCTTTTGATAGCACTTAACTTCATTTTTTGCATTATCACAGTTTTGTTTTTTTTTAAATGAGAAAGCAGGATTAAGAAGCTAAATCCATACATTACATACAGACATGTA